AAGCTGGTCGATCGCCAGTGCTAGTACGCTTCACACTGGCCATTTGTCTGATGAAGGCGACCGTGTAGTCATCGAAAGGTCACATTCTAGTCGTCTACTGGTTGTTTTATAAGAACTGCTTTTGTATTGACTTTAACAGTCTAAAGAAAATGTTCCAATATATTGGTTTATGTAATAAGCAATGGGTCAGTTAAACGTTTATATACTTACCAGCTTTACTGCCATTACAAGCAAAATGATATGGATGGTATTCACTGTTCCAATGATACTAGATGAGAATAACAAAGTACAAATATAAATTTATTCGTAAGAAATAATGAATCCATAACAAGCCACGTAATTTAATTATACGTTAGTGTACAAACGTGAGGATATTTAGGAATGTATTCTGTGTCTTGAAAGTGTAACTCTGAAATGCTGACAATTAGCTTGACGTTATTTTATTTATTCAGTGTATATGTAGCTTCGCATCTAGTATCGACTCAGGTCTATTGTACCTATGACGAGTTTTAGCCTTATTGAAATCCAACAGGAGCCACCCAAATTCTGCTAATTGACCATAACTCCACCCAAACTACAGAGCAGAATCTGGTTGTAACTTATAGCAACGAAAATATTCCGACACATGGCTATTTCGTCGTAAAACACCGGTTATTTAATTTTTTGTATATTGTTTTTCTTTGTCATACTTCTATCTCTGTGTTGCTGGCCTGCAAGGCCTGTTGTCAGCAACTTGACAACCGAAGGCGAGTTCCATGCTAACATCAAGAACTGCTCAGAAGTTGAGCCACGTTCAATTGCTAGCAATGACTAGAAACGAAAGTGCTTGAACATTTTCTGCGATCTGTGATAACAACAATGTGTTGTACACATTGAGACGTGCTTGAATGTGGGAGTTCAACTTGCCGCTGTCCGTTCATGATCATAATAATTCGACGACAATGTTTGGAATATTTCGCTTTGTTTTCTAAGGCATTTTTGTAAACGGCCCTACAGTCTTTCGCGCTTGATATATCACCTATTACGCTATAATCACCCCATGTTTCTTGGCTTTTTTAAAAAAAACTCAAAATCAATCATTTTTTTCAATCATTTACATGATATGCATAAGTCGTACGTACAATGTACATAGTGCATAAATTGCATATAGTGTAACATTGTAAAATCCCATTAACGAAGGTTTTAATGTCCTAGCAACAGCATAATTCACATAAAGAGGATGTTAACGGATAATTGGGTCACTGATGGACACTTCCATAGCATACATGGTCATTATTTGGCTGAAGTCGACCAACATCCCAATAGACGCTTGCACAAGAATATACGTAAGTAATTTATCAATGATTTCAACCATTTCAGGGGAAGAATGTGAAGTAATGTATATCAAAGTGGCTTCTGACAGATACATTTTTTTTTCTAAATTTTTCACATTCTAACAAATCCTTTACTTGTTTGGTTAGAATCAGAATTCGTAGAGACTTAAATATTAGATACTGATTCGCCTCAGTAGGATACATTAATTGACTGTCGAGTCTCGGCAATGTATTGAATTAAACTGATGGATATATGCAACTATTTCTAAATGGTTATAGAAAAAAACATTCAATGCATATTTTCGAGGAAGGATTTGGCCTATGCCACATCTGACAAGATGGTCTGTGAGTGGAAGATACAAAATATGACAATTTACCAACAGAGTATGGCGCCATTATCAAAAAGGTATTGATAGATGATAAATCGATAACAAAATTTGTAATCATCGGTGTAACATACCACACACCTGTCGGTGAGTTCTTGATCCTTTGTTGAATCATAATAATAATAGTTTGATATCACAAACAATTGTTGTATTCGGGATGGATTATTCTCGATCAAACAACGGCTATAAGATAATACTGTCCACGGAGAAGAAGGATACTCAAGGGATATTTTAAAGTGTTATCATACTGGAACGGTGACCAAGGACTAAACATTGATTCACCTTTTTTCTATCAGTGATACATATCAGAGTACATCCTTAATATGAGATTGAAACTGCTTTACCCTGCTCGATTCATCTTAATATGAATAACCATACAGTGTGACCGGTAAAACATCATGCAACTTGTTATGACAAGTTTGTATTTCATTAGAAAGGCGCTGTACTATTCGAACAATCCCTATATATAACATTCCTTGCAATGAGAAGGAAAACAAACGGAAGAAAATCAATGTGATTACAATACAATCCTTATGTAAAATATTAAAAGTCAAAGACAATCTGGACAAATGATATATTACAATTGTAACATACAATATTGTATAAGGTTTCATTTTCTCTGAAGTAAAGCATATTCTCAGCCTTTCTTTTTTTAAAACTGATTTAGACTGCAGTTTCCTTTTAACTGCGGTAACGAATGTTCTTTTTACTTTTTTTTTCAAATCTGAAATTTCAAACTATATATATCTTAAATTTATCTTTTTGATATCTACCTTTAGTTACTTATAATTGCTTCAAAATTGATCTTTACTGTAGAATTCGTCCTGCTTTTCACTTTTTGTATTGTCGCTGCATTTGAAATATGCCAAAGCGTCAGTTTGATTCCTAGGACACCCATTACACGGTATATACATATATATATATAAAATGGAGTGACATTTCTTATCCTATTACGGTACATCTAGGAGTTATTTATTAAAGCTGATTCCATACATCCTTTGTGTAACATTCATGATGCGCAGTACATAAAGCAGGCAGTTTACACTGCAAACTCGAGCTAATAACACAATATGGAGAAAAATCTATAACAATTACAGGACGTGCGAAAATATCAATTAAGTCTGACCTACAAACTGAGAAAGAAATTACATATTTTGTGTCGATATGAAATCAGTCATTTAGTGTATACTTTTCTCTCAGATGTACTCTCTAATGATTTGTCATAAACCTCATCAAATGATTCCTGACCCATTGGTAATATTTGTTTTATTCAGTGTTTATCTATCCCAACAGATATGATGATAAAAGACATAGTGATAGAAGACGAGTATCCTGGGATTAATCGCAGACAGTATTGGGTACATTCAACAGAAAGGGCACCGACTCTAGCGTTGTTGATGGGTTAGATTAATTCAGTGTTTTCCTGAATAATACTGATATTTACCGGTTTGTCGCTCAGCATCGGAAAGGATGCAAAATCCCGACTAGCCCGTTGTTAGTATAATGCATGCAGTTTTGATTGTATATTTTCGTGTCCATGTAATGGTATTTCACAGCGAGAAAGCTGACAATTTAAAAGCATATGTCAGTGACCCCATCGTCTGCTGCCCACTTAAGTCACCAATTTTATTCCCGACCGACATTACCACTGATTTAGCAAATATACGTAAAATGTATTTGTTTTAAAAGCCTTTTGTTCATATGGAAGATACATGTAAACAGAACTGTGCTGGAATTATGTCACTGGTCATTGCATAAGAGATGAGAGATAACAAAAAAAAAAAAACAAAAAAACAAACAAACAAACAAACAAAAACAACCCTCTAAAACGAAAAGCAAAGAAACGAAACAAATATTGGAAATTTATCACAATAAAATGCAAAATGTATTTGCTTTGAAGGCGTTGTTTGGGTAGCGGTGTTGCACTGGCTGTTGCGAAGACGTGAAAAAGAAAAAAATCCACATAGTCATAAATACATTACCAAATACGTGTAAAATGTATGTGTTTTAAATGCATTGTGTGTTCGTATGGGAGATGAATAGCTATCTGCTGGATTCTTAGAGACATATTAGTTATCTATCGATATATTTCATCAAACTACCACATGGAAATTGTGCCGTCACTTGTCACTATATTCTGATCAATGGATAAATAACACAGACTGATCAGACGTTATGTCTCTGCACTCCATTCACACATCGCCACAGATAATTTACAAGCAGGCACAATCGACTCGACTGTATACCTGTGCGACAGTCTCTGCTGACTCTATATCAGTTAATTAGCAATCGAAATGGAAATGTTTGACCTGATTCGGATCCCTTTGATGACACAAAATGACGTGTAATCTTACATGCATGCAACATTGCATATTTAATTAGGTATAAGGACAAAAGGACATATATATTTCTTTTAAAATGTAATGTTAAAGTACAGAACACCTAGATAGTGCTATTCGTGATAGTAGACACTCTTGTTAAATTATTTTTTCCCGGTTTTTTTCTTAATTACTCAAAACCTGTGTCATATGACTAAAAAATGGAACTAGCAGCAAACATAGAGAAAATACAGACATGTCAAGATAAGCATCATGAATTGCAAATTAAACAAGGGGAAAATATGATCAAAAGAAAGATTTACACAGAGTTTCCAGAAAAAAAGTACAAGAAGAATAATACTATGCACTCCGGAAGCGTCAAAAATAATATGTTATGAAGTCCCAAAATCTACATTGCTATCCCTTGATACGAGAGGATCTTCGTAACAATTTTTTTTGACAGCAGAACATGGTCATTTGATCTATAAAGGCATGTGATTGCTTGTTAAATTCGTGCAAAAATGTTGCAACCAAAAGTAATGAAATTAGCCGTCAATAAGTCTGATTAATCTTTTGGTTGAAAAAAAAAATGTTTAAAGTTATGTCATTTAGTGTCTGTGACCTTTCCTTAATGTTATTGCCTTGTATGTGTGAAGTTATCTGGCGAATCTTCTCCCCGAGACATTTGTATTTTTTCCAGAATTCCCTATTCTTAAAATATAGTTGTTGAAAATATCATAAGCAATTGATCACAGGCGGACGGACAAAAATTTGAACTTCAATATTGACAAAAAATGAGCAACTATTAAGATTTTATTTGGATTAATATTAGGTAACTGTTCTAAAGACTAATGACGCCATGCTCGAAGAGAAAAGTTAACATTCTATTTTCATTATTCGTGAATAAATACTGGTGTTGATAAATTAGGAATGAAACAGTACTTGGAAAGGTAAAAACAGCTAAATCAGAATGGAAAACTTACCGAGTACGAGAGTAAGAGTATCGGAAACAGCCAAACTGAAGAGGTAATAGTTGGTGACAGTGTGCATGTACGTGTTTCTCGCTATCACGAGGCACGTGCTCACGTTACCGATGACGCCCGTGATGAAGATGATACTGTAAACGACAGTTAGTGTGATCACAGATGGTAAGCCTTTTCTTTTATCGCCCAAAAGCTGTAATAACAGGTCAGTTTCCTCCAGCGTGCTCAGGGTAGTACCGTTAACCTCCATTGTCGCCGGAAATAATCTCTACGAGTAGTATCCGGTCAACACGGATCACAATAAATAGTAATGAGTATTAACTATGTGTCTTAAGGTGTAACAATCATGTATATCACTCTGTTGCTTCAGTTATAATGATAAGTCGGCATTCTAAGTCAAATTTGTTACATAATTATAATTTCGTCGAAAGAAGGAAACAACATATCAATAAATGATAAATGAAGTGTCCATTGCTTGTCCATGATGTATAGAATCGGAAGTGAAATTTAAAACTTTTAAGATTCTATGGTATATAGTCAACTTTCAATTTATCATAAAGACATTGCAACCGATACTCATTTTCTTGAAAACGTTTCTTCTAGAAAGAGTGGTTGCATGCGGAGCGAAAATTACACCCAGCTATTTTTTTTTTCGCTGAAACTTTTGAAATACTTTTCCAATTCTTTCATTTGTGAATAATCCAATTTCTTGGCACAACATTTGCAGGCGTAATCACTCCAATGCACGACATTTTACAGCTTTCAATTTTTTTTTCTGTATAGTAAGGACACTTTAGGATGACATCATGTTTTTCAACAATTCCTTCCAGTCGTTACACGTTTCGGAGAACAATTATACCAATCGCTGTCGTAATCTATTCGCTGACTGACATTGTATATATTTATATCCAAAGAATGTCAAATAACATCGATACGACCATGATGTTTGCCCTACCACATAGAAACGCATACATTGGTAATTAGTAATATAATTTTAAGCTTCAATAGACATCGGTTTCCTAATAGCATTTTCAAAAGTATATATCCGTATCAAATCCTCCTCTTCATACGATGGAGATGACCGTTGGTCAGCGTGTGTCTTGCTTATCACCCATTAGGCGACATTACTGAGGCATAGTTGTCAATGTCTGCGGAGATCAATTAAAGCCAATGTTCCAGAACGCCCAAGCTTACGTGCCTGTAGTGATCATTTGTCCGTAATCAAAACTGCCAATTATGGCCTGGTATAGGTATCCATATAATGATTTTAAACAGCTGGTATGAAACACTCTTGTAGTTATACTTGGTATTTGTCATTTCTGCAAAAACATTTAATATCATATATCCCGGGGAAACTTTCTCTACGGATTCCTCCTGCTGTTATTGTGAAGCCTATTACTGTAAACACCGTATCAATAGATGTACCAGTCCTCTTCTCTATGACGATGGTCTTCCATCTCGCACATCCCATTAGTACTGTTCATAGCTTTGAAATCCATCGCCAAAAGCCAACCGTCATGGACTGATTATGAACTGTCGTCCAAGACGCGTGGTGCTGTATCAACGACGACACACTCGCTGTCACCGGGACCTGTATAACTTTCAACTAGACTCCGGGCCAATCAGTCATAAACAACCGCTGCCGCTTTGACAGTGTTGTCCATTTAAGTTAATTGTCAATGGTCTCACATAGGAATGAATCTATCTATTATAATCATTCACAGCTGTAGGTTATGCCATATGATGTTAAAAGCATACCATTTCAACATCCATGTTGTTAAGGAAGGGTATCATTATAGGAGTATGTGTGATGCTTTAATAATTTTGTTTTGTGAGGAGAAGTATAGATTAATGACTATATTAATAACATAGTACGGAAGAGCACAAAACACAAACATTCGAAACTTCTTGGAACTGCAGTTATAGTATTTTGGTTAAAACCAATGTATCACCATCTAGATAATAAAAAGGAGAAATAACTTTCCTTTTTGGTTTGTTCAAATTTACGTTCAGCAAAATACAGTAAGTAAATAGTCATTTCGAGAAACCTAACTCGCCTTTTTGAGAACAAGTATATAATACTTTCTTTTTTTTTCTATTTAAGTTTTAAAGGCAACGATGATCACCATAACAATATATATGGAATAGGCTATCGTTAGTAATATACATACATTCTTTTACTTTTTAATATTATATCAGATCAGCCAAGACTGAAGATACAAACTATCCGGCGTAGTGACTGTATTGTAAAATATAAATTATCAGTGTTTATTGATTTCAGAATTTTCTCAACAATATATCTCCATAACACATGAGAAAATAAGTAATGAATGTCTGAAAAATCAGAGCTCTCCAGTCTTCTCCAGTTAGCTATCAAATTAAGAGATGACGTATTTAACTAAATGCAGTTAGTGGATTACAAGTATATATGAACACCTGCTTCATGTAGCTGGCATGTTTTTGTCAGACCAAGATGAAAAAAGAAGGATTTAACTACTTGATATGAAATTTATAAATAATGTGATGTCCACTTTGGTCATACAAACAGAGATATGCTTACAACAGAACAGAAGTATTGTGCTTCCCAGATGATATGGTAAAAGTCTAGAAACTGGAAAAACATTCCTATGGACGTTGGAAGTATGGTGCATTTTTTCATTTTTGTTTTTGTTTTAATGTATCTAACTGTTATTAACATGCGTATCTAGAATAGTAGTTTTCATAACACAACCAGTAGAAGATTAGAGTGTGATTTTTCGATGACTACATGGTCACCTTCATCAGACAAATGACTAGTGTGGAGCGTACTAGTATTGACTTACGTACCGTCCGAGATGGTAAGAAATCAAACAAATTTTTCGGCTTTGCTATAATCCTATGTACACTACGGTCGAAAATAGTGTGACGAAATGGTAAACCAGTTACAGAAAAAAAAAATAAAAAAAAAGACTTTTTGACCTTGTTAATCCTATCTTATTCTGAGAGAGTACCTGTTTGATATTTACAGTAAACCAGGATTGACAAATTAGATGGGTTCTCCGAAATTGTACGTCTTCACCTATAAACAGTGAAAACCTGATATGATGACAATATAATATTCATTCGTCTCTCGCAGAAAGGACCATGGACAAAGCACCAGTCCAACTCAGTTAAACTTACCTAAACATAGTCACTAAATTGTCTTGAATCTTGACACTATATAACAGAAATAAATTTTGATCGTCCTTGCTTTATAATGTGTTATTTTCTGCGAGTAGCGGATTTGTGTTCACGAAAAACAATATGAACGTATGTGTCATAGGAAACACCAACAGCAGAATTCAAATCATAAAATAAGAAGACAAAGGTGAAAGTAAAAAATGAACAACACTGAAGCTCCTTATATTCCTTTTGGTATCTCTATCGTCCCTTAAATAGAAGACGTCGAAAAAATAATCCGATTCTACTTTGTTATCATCATTTCAGAACCAAGTGATCAACCTTTATACTGAATTGATTAGCACTAAATATGTATAACTGTTATTTAGTCTAAAGTGATATTAGTCACGGCTACAATCGATAGGTCTGTGATCTTCTCTGGCAGTTTCCAATGATCAATTATCTATAGGACGAGATTGTTTTCATGACATTGCCTTTTGGAATACGATTTGTTGGTCAACAACCCATGCGGTAGCTCTATCGCCAGGATTTTTAACCCACTAACATAAAATAACGGTAAACTGGTAAATAGAAATATCCCATTCCAAGGAGATTCAGGTAGCTATTACGTCTAAACTTACATATGTCTTCTTCATAGGCTTTGCTGCTTTAGCCGTTAGGCTCTTGGCCAAATGAAATATCTTTATGGATAATAATACAAAGTCCAAAGCCTTTCCTTGTCTATTTGTGATCGATGTCCTTTTCTTGACATTCTTGTCCCAGACGTTGCTAATACCCGCAATTACATGTAATATTTGTCTGGTATAAGACAGGCTATTTACATCACGTTCTTCACTAATTCCTCTTAAATGTGTTTATAAATAAAGGATTTTTTTGTTAGAGGAATATTAATACATACGAACTCTCCTACAGTGTAGTATACGCTGCAGTTAAGAAATATAGACTATATTTTCTTCAGCATCACTGACTCCTGAAAAACCACAAGGAGAATAAGATCGGATGTTCAAGACGAGTAAGCGTCTTCTGCTTCATCAACGACACTCGCCATGTAGACCTTTGTCAATCCGAAAAAAATTGTCACGTTCTCAAATGAGAAGAAGGTATACAACAACGAAACCAACAGGCAAATTACGAGCATCAAATACCTCCAGCTTCATATCGCACACAAGATGTATTAATATGACATGGTATTCAAGTATGCTCTGGAAATGCGAAAAATCGATTTGTTATTTTCACGTTCTCACCAATACTAAACAGTTTTTGAGGTATTATCACACTTAACAACAACACGAAAATCTAGAGTAGATCAACAACATCCGCCATGTAGATCTTGGTCAATCCTAGTAAGTCATGTCACGTTGTCAAATGAGAAGAAAAAAAAAGACTAGTGATTAAAATATGACACAAGTAAAAACATCAACGAAACCGTGAATATATACCATCCTTGTATTTGGTAGGTAGAATATTTGTGTCACGTCACTATATTACAAATGCTCAGATTTTCAGAAAACAAAACGAACGTTGTCGTCTTTCTTATGATCGAACTTTAAAAATCTCATATCTATCACATAATGACCCAAAGCATAAAGCTATCAATTTGGTGTTTGTTTTTGATGCAATTTTTGCCACAATATCCTATCAATGTTTTCTGTAATGATATACTATTTTGTTGTTTGTTACACTGACGTTCATTCAGTAATAAAACCAACTGACGATGCCTCGTAAAAGAAAAAAGAAAAGATTACTGTATTTACTAGTACTGGAAGGATCAACCATATATAGCTTGAGAAAAAAGAACTGACAAAGCACCATAGTAAATGTGCTGACAGAATTAACCTCGGATGTGATTGTAACGCGTTTGTGTTGACCAGCAAAGATAATCACTGACGCCAGCCCCATTGGGATTCAGCATATCAGATCTGCCTCTGGTTTGATTGAGACCCGGGATGATGTTATTAGTGTAGCACGGATTTAATGGAGCATGTTATGAGAGGTCGGGGATTGGGAACATCTTATGGGGATCTGCCATTACTGTTACTGAATCACCGGTATTATCAAAGCCACAACAACTGATAACACTTATATATTATATGATGAAAATGTATTTTTTCACTATATATATCCGAACTTCCTAACTGTTAAAAATGCTAGTCGGTTATTCCATACGAATGTTAATAATGCTTATTCATATTTTATACTTAGGCTTAATGAAGAAATTCATCTTTTGTATCATCTCCGGTTCAAATCGGAAATGGAGTCAATAGAGCGCAGACATGGACTTAGTGCTAGACGAAATAGTATCGGACAGACGCAGGTAATATATGTGCCATCAGATCACATGACCGCTCAAACGGTAGTATTTTGTGCGGGTGTCTACGTTAAACTTCAAAATTCTGGCTTGTATGATGTGATCATCATAGTATCAGACAGGGTCCTTTGAAGACAACCAAAACGGAAAGGACGATACTCCAAGGTCGTATATAGTGTAGCTGTAGGATTATCTCCAAAATCAATTCAAATCTGTGTTGCTTCTTTACACATCATTACACTATAGATTAGGTTCTGACAGGATTTATATCGTCTGCAATGGCTCGTTTTCGTTTAAAGAGGTAGTCTGTGCTGCTGATGTCCTAAGCATGGACGGCGTTTCTTACCTGACAGTCAATTTCACATTGTTTGACATGTGAAAAGAATGATACAATAATAGAAACAAAATGCGGATCCCTTTCTATTCTGTATGTAAATGTCATAAATGCTGAAATTAACATTTCCTTTGTACAATGTAAATCCTTTTTTCCAGTAAACCATCAAGAAAATACCAACATGGCAACATAATCATAATTCAAACTCAAATTCCATAACACTAGGGTAAAATGTGAACAAAAGAAAGACTTACACGGACATTCCTGAAAAAGTACAATGGGAACGAGACCAGGTGTTCATAATTAAAGTTTCAGGTAAATGGTAAAAAAAAATCAATATAGGCTCCTACGAAATAAACATTAGATCCTTTGATTAAGACATGCATTTCGGCAAATTGTCTAAAATGTCAAAACAATGCAACCATGATTGTGGAAATGTATAAATGACAATGACATGTTGGTATATTATGAAATTTAAGTAAAACTGTCAATGAAGCATTTAGAACAAAACAATCATAAGCAAAAAGTTATTTTACTTTGAGATTAGATTAATATCCACTTATGCTACCAAACTATCAAGTGCTAGCATACTGAAATGTTTTTAAATCGGTAGATGATATACAATCAGCAACCATTATAAATCCTTATCGCCAATACACTTCATGCTGAATTAATTTTCACCCAGCACCCAGAGAGCACAGAAGCAAATTCCGAGCCTGGTGTTCATTTCTGTTTCTTTGGCCTGCAAATGTGACGTGAACAGTGTGATCAAGAACTAATGCAGACATAAAAATGATGCCAGAACCATCATAAAATTACACAATAACTCGATATACAGAGTTGGAAAGCATTGTTCACAAAGGGATGCTTAGATATCTTTAGAATCAAAACGAGTTCTTGTTATGCTAAAGTATATGATAAACCATACGTCTGCAAATAGAAGATAAGACTTTCATTTGCTGAATGTAATAGAGTGATCACGATCGACCTGTTTTGGATGTAAGGCCACCATCAGGACATCGCTTTTTCTGAAACCAGAGACGGTTGTTCCCAGGAGAGTAGGACAATTTACATATATTTGAACCCATTCCTCTGATACGCGCTTCGCTCAATCATGGAATGCTTGATGCAATCAGCACGAATATACCTAGGTACGCGTTTCCCGTAATTCAAGTCCGCTGACAAGAAAAACATTTCATGTCAAACTGTTTATTACATAGATCACAATAGAAATTAACTCTTAGCCAATGGTTATCCAGTGGTATTCTTGTCTGCAAAAGAAAAATGAGCACATAATTTTTGCCACTGTATATATAATATTTATCCAAAATAATCCCTACAAATTTGGTAAAAAAATGAGATTTTTGAAAATATTTCATAATCTGTATTTCTTTTATATTGACTTATGAGATTTTAGATATAAAATACATATTATATAAAGAATAAATCCTTAAATAAATATATTTCTATAAACATTGCGCGTGTGGCTTTGCCGATAAATGCTTATTATTTCCCCGTTTAAGTAATTAGCAGTCAGGCTTAAATTCAGTTTAGAAACAGATTTTATGTATGCAAGAACGTATTTTGTTATGATGACTGACTTCATTTTCAAAACATTTGCTTATGTACGGGACGACAAATAAGGAAATTCGAATGATCCTTAAATTGTTAACGTAATTATGAATAAAATTGTTTCTATCATATTAGAATACCTACAATGGTTTCGCCTCGCATATAGCACCCTGCGGGAACGGACAGTAGTTGTCATTCCAGTGAGTGTGTAAGTTTAGTTCGAGGCAATGTTCGTTACCATGGGAATTATTTGGTTGGTCTTTGTTCCACTTGCAATAATTATGAGCATGGCCACAGGGTCGCATTGGCACAGGATTATTGTTTTCTATCCACACCCAGCTGCTATTGGCATTCATATTTGTACCTCCTACCCAGAAAGAAGCATCTGCAAGAATGAAATGAAAATTTCAATGCATTCTGTACGTTAAGATAAGAAACAGTGTCTTCTCAATATCAGTTTCAATAGATCAATTGTTATTGGTAAAGACGTACTATAACTAAAAACATATTGCTTTGTGCAATAAAATTAACTATAAGTGTAAACACCGCAGCGATAACATCTTTCGATTGACATTTTTCATACCCTACCATAATAACGTCATTTTGAAATGCAAATATAAAATTGTATTGATAAAGACATTGCAGAAGTACATGTAAGTCTCTCACATCTGCATCGTGATCGAAAGTAATTTTGTGTGTGAGTCGACCTTCCAAACAAATCGTACTTCTGATAATACCTAAAGTTACACTGGTTGTGAAAGTGTACATCAACTGAGCATTTTCTAACTACGATTTAAGTAACTAAAATATATGTTACATGGAAGTTAATCATCACGCTATTGTTAGACTCTAAGTTTAAATATCGCACCAAGGAGGAGTCATACAATAAACAATTGGAAAATTATTGATATGGGAGAAGGTAGGACTAAACGAAAGAAAGGAATTCCACAGTTCATTTCCGTTCTACCCCTAAACGACCGTACAACATGCAGTTTCTTATAAATGTATCTGACGAAAGAACCATCATCAAATAAAGAGTTCGCACAAGTTAACACAACGTCCAGAGGTCAGAGGGCAAATATGAGATGATTCCTCATACACGAGGACTGACATTACCGTAATTAGATTATGCACGAGCAGAAGAGAAAATGAAGGAAGACAATTGGCGTTTGGGCAATTTTCGTTTGGTAATTCCATCTTCTCGGAGTAGAGGGAACAAGTAAAAAACCTCCAAATGTTGCTTAGGTGTTCTCGTATCAGATATCACAGACAATCTTGCTGTTATTCGCAAACCTTCAGATGTGACCTACACAGCATGCAATTACATGTCTCGCATGAAGCAAAAATCAAACCTGATAGATATTTATTACAACGTTATTAGAATGTTCATATTTTTAATTGTTGAGACCAAATGATATTCTCCGTAATATGCAATATAATTCTGAAATCGAATTGGCTATAATATCGAATGAAGTTTTAATTGTTTGAAAGAAATGTCAGGAATGTAGGATGGGAAATTAGAATTGTGTTAGGATGTGATATGGAGTTGACAGGTCTATACCATAAATCTATCAATGGTGAAGGATTCAATGTGGCTACGTCAACCATAAAATAATACACATCAAATGACACCAATCCTCTTAATACTTAAATTATAGTGAATATGCATACGTCGCACCCGCACTCCTCCCTCCAGAAATCTGTTCTCCTCTTCCGAGTCGATAGAGGCCAAATGCCCACCGATGAGGACACAGTGTTGCTGAAAGACAAAATGCCGCCAAACGTCAAACTATTCTAAACATGGACGTATTATTATTTGCATTGAATTTTATGCCCTCTTAGAAACTTAACGAAATTGAGAATAAGTGCATGTGGTTTTGCCGTTTGGGAGATTGTTTGTGTCATCCTATTGAAGCAATATTACTATATCCAATGTGACTGCATGCTTTCTGTAATGACTTTTCCAATGTCCTTGTAGGGGCGAGAAGACCTGAAAACTACAACACATGGTAAAACAAAGAACAGGAATAGCTAGTATGACAAATTAAGTTCCTAGTCTTACAGATAGTTTATGAAATATAGCCAAGAGCAAAAGTTTTCCTTCCTGAGAGTAGAGACTGGTATACTTGATTTTAATAGTCATATTGTGTCTAAATATTTCGAAATAGAAATCTTATCTGTTGCATTTTGGCGCTTGTCGAACTCCAAATCTGGATTTTAACTTTTCTGCGATCAATTTGGATGAGATGAAGCAGTAAGATGCAGTTGAAATAATAATTTCGCACTTTACAATGTCCTAATCAAAATTTGCATTAAACTTTTTTTTTTCACTTGTGTGTTCATTTTTTAATCTTCAACGGTTCTGTCTAGGTCAAAACAGAATAAAAAACGTTGTATATATGCTAATTATAATAAGAAGAAAACGAAAATTGATTATCATCCTCTATTGTGATACATCATCTATGTCTGTATCCTCTCGTCATTACCAAGGAGAGGCCTCAGTTAAACCAACACTTTCTGTTTTTATAAAGATTGAATTCCCTAAAATTTTGACATTTTTTCTAACGTTAGTGACTACAACATCGTTCAAAGACTATAAACGAATAAAGATATTTACAGCAACACGCATACTACTGACTTACCATATGTTCGATCCAGGAATCAGATGTATTGACGAAGATGTAGCACGAGTGATCATGCAATACCCAACCAGCCTTACATCTTGAATTGGCTACAAATAGACAGTACAGGTTTACAATGTTGTACTCTCTTGTACAATTGTTTACATCTTTAAATGGCTACAAATAGACAGTACAGGTTTACAATGTTGTACTCTCTTTTACAATTGTTTAATTTGCGGGGATAATATTTCGCGTCTGTCACGGTTGTTGGGATTAGATAGGTTAAAGTGTCAGCAGTGGTCTGTTTCTCAAGTTAATGTGAAGCACAGATTACAAGGGATTAGGAGAGTCGAACCACGCACCTCGGGGTTATGTTCACCAATGCATTAACTAACTGAATTAACTCGGGAAAGTAAAACATTTCATTGTGAGGGCATGTAATTATAATTAATCACATGATACTTTCTCTGGTAGTAACGATGATATACGGTATCAATTTGTCTTGCTTATTATTTATTAAACTGTTTAAAAAAACATTAAAATTATACATCACCTTTTGTGCAGTACCATTCGGATGCAAATATTAACACCAGGAATACACGAAGTCTCAACATATTCACCTGCAAGAACATCAAGTGCGAATCTATTCCTAGTAGGGCTGAAATCTAGATAAGAGAGCACGTACTTCGGTATCATAAGATAACATTGTGGTTATCGAGACCTACTGGCTTTAGAAGAAATAACATTGCCCTTTACTTTGAAAGCGGCTTATATACCTCAGAAATGGATTGAGCAGTTGTAATAAGTAATTATTTGCAAATGATAAATCACTCTTTTTTATGGTTTATCGGTTAAAACGTGAAAACATTAAACAATACAATAACGCCAAAAGGGGTATGGGATAAAGTGTTGAAGATTTGTAAGTGAATGACATTTAGGACAAGATAGTTGACAATGACATCTCACTTTTTTCAGATATTTATGACTAGGTTTTGCATTATCAAAGCAAAAGTACAAACCAAGGTCAAAATACTTGTCTATTTTATCAACATGTGACGACTGTACATGAATGGAAGGGTTGAACGCTTTGAACTATGAAATTTACGAGGTGGTGAGAGGATAACCATATGTCTTTTGTGATAAGTAATGTATACAACAGTTAAACAACTAATCTGTAGCTAAAATAGTAATTATTGAAATCACCTGATCATCCTGAACGTGAAAAAAGACAATTTGGAAATGCATAAACATAAAAGAAAATTATCAAAATTGCTGTAGAAATTAACATTCCAGGTCCTTATGTCAGCGCCTTAGAAACCTGGCATTGCATCGGATGTAAGGATCTAATAGAAAATTACTATCTCTACACTGGTTCCAAATCCGAAATCTTTAATCAATAAAAGTACTATTCATGTCATATTTGCTACAAGGCATATACCGATATAATACATAGCATTTTGAACTTCAACAGGTTATCACAGAATTGCTTTGGGGCTACACGTGTTCTCATCCATAAGCACAGGGGAGTTGTCTCGCTTTCAATTATTATGATCTTCACAAAACGATGATTCATAAAATCTTGCGTTTTTGGAATTACAATTTGATATCAATGCTTTTTAAAATGAACTTCCTGCGTCGATGGTTTGCAGGTAAATACACATTCATGCTACTATAAACACAGAATAACCAGCAACTCAAAACGTTGACGTCTTCATATATGTATATATATATATATATATATATATATATATAGTGGTATTGCAAAGGCGCTTCTAAGTGGCAACATCATATGTAACTATATATGTATATAGCTACATATGATGTTGCCACTCGGAAGCGTCTTTGCAATACCACTACACTAAAATATCTACACCTGGGCAAATATTTACACCTTGACACTGGATCATGATATCCTGATCCGTAGAATAACAGAATTGGACCAATGCATTATTACACAATACACCTCCATTTTTGACATGTACTGCTGAAGCAAGCGTTCGTCAAGTAAACGAGACATCATATGAAGTATAATTCATATTGTAATATGCAAGATTTGCCGAAAACATAACAATTTTGGGAAATGTCCTTACAGGTCAATGAAAGCATTATTTTGATAACGCTAGAATATTTTGTATAAATTTGTAGTTTGGCCAGATGACAATTTGTGTGATTATGACGTAACATTTGTATAGATTATGGTTCTCCAGAATCAACAACCTTTTGTGTGCAGATGTATGCTCAACGCGCACAGCCAACACAAAGACGATCACATGTTATTGAAAAATTACATTTGATTAGGGTAGATAATGAACCATGACAAAGGTTCCTATAACAGTTGAATATTTTAGTGTGACGTTTTGATGACAACATGGTGACTTTCATCAGACAAATGACCAGTGCGAAGCGTACTAGAACAAGAATTGTCTTGACACTATGAAAAAATTGTTGAAAATTCGTGAAATTCCAAATTTAGTTCAATTCGAAGTCTTTTGACGTTTCCTGTCTCGTTAACTACCTATATAGTGCAATAAAATAGTACAAAAGAAAACATTTATTTCCAAAAATGTTGAGTTTCACAAAGCTACCATTGTGTCTTCAATGAAAGTTTGTTAATAAGAATAGTACATGTATATTAATCACTAACAGGTATATATTTTATTAGGACACGTTACAGAGGTCAAAAACACCAATTAAAATACCTGAACATAGGGAACGAATGTCTGCGAACATGATGGCGTACACCTTAAGCATTTAAAACAATAAACTTGAGGCTGACAGGAAAACCTGGCGTTCTCCTATAACGTATAAAATGAAACTTTAGACTTTCTCACCGGTTAATCGTTTTGTCCAATCATAAAACGCGTCACCATCGAGATGCATATGCCATACTACAACTTCATACTAAATTTATGTCAATAAAATTGAAAAATAACTAAATTTCGGATAATCCGACGCCTCCATTTTGTAGCTATTTCGGTGACAATGTCATTTAACTGCATTTTAAGAAGTGACCTATAGATATCCTTTCAAGGATTTTTATCCTGATGTGCTGCATACAACAAACTGTAGATATTAAAAGGTTTAGGCCAATCAGAAGGCAGAAAAAGACGGCCATCTTGCGAAATCAGAACATGAAAGATTTTTCCATGTCTATAGGTAATCGATATAACTACCCCAAAGTTTTTTCTCTAATAAGTGGAAGGAGAAAAAAGAAGAAATGTAGGATAAAATAATTGTAGGAATTGTCGTAAAATCAGTTAGTACAAAGCTTGGTAAATAGATAAATTAATAAATGAATTAAATGCGTTGAATTTTCGCATTTTATTTCGTTATTGTACACTCAAAGAAAACTGTGGAAAAAAGGTGGTCCCGGGAGGTCAGTTTCCCGCCCATACACTGCGCATTGTTTAAACGCACATGGACTTTCTTGCCAAGCATATCGGACTGCAGACACGGTCATCTGGTCACATTGCGTGGTGTTCAGTGTAACAGACGATATGTCATATGCTTCTATTGTAGCTGCTTTCCAGTTATCAAAATTTTTATCACATATCCTAGCTGCACAGCATACCTGTAATTTGTCAAAGATAAAATGAAATGAATGGAAATGAAGTTGTAAAAACTATATCACCATGATCTCATTACACTAGATTAAATCTCTGGCTTCTGCAGAAGTCAATAACTGATTATATATATGTTGTTTAAGTAATGCACAAATTTCGGATATGAAATACAAACGCTTTTTCCTCATTTGCATTCCTCCGTTTTCTGCTTAATTATTTAAGCGTTGAATCTTGCTTTTGTCGATTTCATGGAGTGGTGAATTAGTTGATCATTACACAAATTTAATGAACTGCGCAAAAAGCAGTTCATGTTGAATTTGTCCTACGAGTAATTCAATTTGTTACTAGCTAAAATCAGCAAAAGTAAGGTTTTTTATTTTGAACAAATCCAAGTCTGCAGTACCAGAACTTGTGCAAGTCTAGATCTGGTCATATTCGTGGGAAAAAAACTAGACTTAATTTGGTGATGACGAGTGATACTTGCGTAGAAACTGAAATATATCAAAATACGTTTCAGTTTTTTTTAATAAGATATGTGTTTGAAAATTACCAGCGACTCACATATTCGGTTATCTACGGCGTCGCCTGAACCCATGTAATCGTCAATAGGTACAATTACGCCCGAAAACAGTTAAGAATAAAAAAGTATTTCTCCAAATCTTCATCGCACAAAGAACTAAATTTTAATTACATTCTTTTTGTGTTTGATTGATTTTAAATTTCGCTACGGACGTTATGAACATAAATTTTGTGTGTTTATTTTTCTTTAAACCAGAAATTATTCATTTATCTTAATAGATATATATCACATTTAATCTCTAGCGATTTGTTCTTAGCGTCATTTACATCGTACGACATTGTATAGTATATCAATTATGTAAAGTCAATGGTTTTAATATTTTCTTGTTGTAAAATTACCAATGTTGGCCATGCCTCATCTAACTATTTTCCTTGCAAACTCCACAAATGATTTCCAGACTTTCCTATTTAGCACTCTCTTAAATATTACCTTAATAAACAACTCCGATTCCCGTTATGACAATATTTTTCAGTCGCAATATATTTAGAAAACAACTTCTATCTTTCTATATGTGTCGCATTAATTACAGGCATAAGGGAGATAACTCTTGTATATGTTGTATTTTAAATCACGACACTTGTACTCAATTGTATTGCAATCTATCTCAACTTCTATTTAAAGTTTCTAATTATCGCCAAAAAGAACCGTTTAACATGCAGTCTTTTGACGGTGGAACTAGAATATAAAAATAAGGTTAATTTCAGATTGATACAACCTTATTCATGTACATTTTTTATCTGAATGCATTCATGGTTGTCTTGGACCGATATATATATATATATATATATATACTGGTGTTGAATCTATTGTAACTATGATGGTTTGTTTCGGTTTTACGAATTTTGAAATGTATGATTAATCACAGTTTTTGATTTAGAATATTTACAAGATTTTCTTGGAGTAATTTTCATCTTCGGATTTCAAACGTTGTTATAAAACTTATTAAGTCACTTGCATAATAGTTTGTATTAGTTTCCAAATGTAGTAAAGCTTAAATAAGTATTGTTGTTTACCTCAAAGTTACTGCTGAGGGCGTCCACCCTTATTGGAGTTCGTCCCTGGTCATACTCTATATTTAGGGTGTGGCTAGACAAATGGTAATCCGATGGATAAGGACCTTCATAGTCCAGTCCCGATTGATGGTACGCTACCCCGAGAGCTGAGAGAACTAGACGGGAGGCTACGTCATGTTTATACCGAGGATGTATGCTGATGATAATAACGCAAAGCCATAAAAATAAATGTAATATAAAGTCAAATCTGACAGAAGAAGCAATTAAAACACCATTTTATGAAAAGTTGATAGATTCAAGAAATCATTCGTTGGTTTAAATTTGACATTTCCGTGCATCGGATGTCGATAATCGGGCCCCTAAGGTGTTGGTGAAATTGATGTTGACCTCTATCAGTACCAAGTATCCACACTTGTTTTATGTAATCAAAGGGGAAAAATACGTTTTAGTGGTTTTAACGTTTGAACAGATTTCGGAAGACCATAAAACGATGGAGCAATGACAACAAGTACGATGACGAATTCTGTTTGATGTAATATTGGTGAGTAAGTTGATAATCTACTTTGATTCCTGTCGAACACCAATAACTTTATGACGTCTTAGTAAAATCTTATATGAGATACAACTACAAGCGATTTGGAAGTTTGTAGTCTCAGCTTCAGGATATCCTTGCTTTCTAAGTGATATGGTAAAATACAAAAACGACTTAATGGAAATGATTTAGAGTATTAACCGATAAATTAACCATATGTAGTCTCAGCTTCAGGATATTCTTGCTTTTTAAGTACTATAGTAGAATAATAAAAAAAAACTTTATGGAAATGAAAAAGCTGGTTTTTGAGTGCGATACAAAACAAACCAAAATATCTGCTTTCGATTTAGTTACGTCCGTGTTATTTTATCTTTTTTAAAGTCATATGCAATTCCGGTTTGTGAAATCGATTATGTTAATAGAAGTGGCAAACGCACGTGTTCATATATTATTCTACTGCAAATACACGTTTTACAAAATTCTAAAATGATAACGAAACGGACTACGAATATTGTTTACTCAGAATATTACAGAAATATATCATGAAAAAGTGTACTGAAATACGGGGATGAGAAATCTCAGAGGGATCCTGTCCGCTGTCATCACTTAATATCAATTAGTTATGCATCATTGGATTCCATTTTACTCTTTCCGATCAGTTCGAACATGCAAAACATGGACAAAATATAACCTACACATACACCAGAAACGTGAGAATAACTCATCAAGTAATTAGCTCTCAAGGCAGTGATAACTTCTTATCCCTAGTAAAATCAAAGATGGCCGCTTGTCGACAGTTTCGGTTTGCTTATTAGGTCTTAAATAACAATCTACAACTGAAGACCAAGAGAAACATACACATTGGATTTCAGAATTATTCACCGAACATTTTCAATATTTAACGATAGGCTATAATTGCCAGAATCGAAGAATTCTTCCAGTCAACAATTTCCTTTTTACGGCGACTCCCAAATGTATAATGAACAAAAAGGGAACAAGAAATTTTTTTTACTATACCTGCCGTACGGTGATTTAAAGTCGGGTAGGTCCAAGGCCACAGACATGAATGTATTCGGCATTTTTGGGTTTGGTACTTTTCCGTATCCGGCCGTTTGAGCCCATCTCAGCGCTGGGAATCCTTTGGCTATCGTCTCAGGCGCATTGGGTGCTAGCTACATAACTAACTCATGGGAACATTTAAGAAGAATTTTTATTTCTCTAAATGGAAACGAGAATGATATTCTATTCCTCAAATGCAACATTTGCCTTTGTACGTACTTTATCATTGCTTATTATTAAGGTATGTAATTAAAGCCCCAATATACGTAAAAATCACCATAAAAAACAAACTTTATCTTATTTTCCCCGTAATATATGTAACAAAACAAATACTTTCCTTTAATTAAAGAAAATAAAACTGACTGTTTTCAATTTAAATAAAAATTGAAAAAATCGGAAAATAAACAATGTGGGACCCACACTAATTCATACATTACCGCTCGTAGCGATGACATTGCGCATGCGCATATTCCGCGTGTGTAAACATGGCAGACACAGTACCGACGGCCACCAGTCGCTTCCTTTTTTTTCCAATCATACATCAGGCCAGTTCTGAATTCTTACGTTATAATTGTGCGTCGTATCGTTTCTAAACTAATTATTCCTTCTAATAATTTCCCAAAAACTGAATGTTTATCACAGGAATACATCAAGTCTACGACAAGACTTCGCAAACAATGTTTGTAAACAAAAACTTACCGTAGACATATCTGCATGTACTTCCTCTATAAGTAGAAACCTCAACTCTCGCGAGATCAGGTCATGAACTTTCCGACGTGGTTCGGCAACAATCGTAATTTCGATGGCGGCGTGTTTAAAATGGAGGTGTGTTTACAAATAGCGAGTTTCAACTGCTCATGTATCAATACTTTATGCACAAAGTCATGGTAACTATTGTTTGAATAACTTAATTTTAACTACGTCTTAGAGAATATCTCAATAATTATGTGTGATTATACACTAAATTTTTGGTGAATGTTACGTATATTGGGGCTTTAACAGCAATTAACTTTATTGATTTAAAGTCAAATTTGTTTGTTGAAAAGAAAATATTTCTTAAAAATAAATGTCATATTTTTTTTTTATTTTTTTGTCCTTCTTTAGGTCGCTGTTGGCGACATTTTCTGTGTGGAAGGGCCGTAGCAAAGAAAATTATATAAAAATAATATTATAACGTGTTCACCCTTTCAGTCATCGACTATTTACCAGTATCCGTGTATAGTATTTCTTACCTGTACAAAACCAAACGGAAATTCTGCTGACGTTGTGTGAAGGGATGCCGAGCTGAATCTTTGTCTCCAGTCGTTTATCATAGCCGGGAACTGACAACTATACAAATCAGATGTTGCTAGGTTCGCCTCTCCTATAATGGAAAAATGAATACATTTGTTGTGAAAACAGCACTAAAGATAAAATTTATTACTGCAAAATGATAATCTTTATGGTAACAAGAAGTATGGTATAGTATAATAAAGTATCTAAGATATTTACAACGAACCTGGTAGATTTACACTGTAAGTCAGTGCTTTACACTTTGGCAGGGTTCTTTCATAGGGGCCTATAATTAGAGATCGATACATAAACACCAAGGGCATACATTGCACCATATTATTGAATTATGAAAGGTTCGTCAATACAGAGTCAGGCCATTAAGAACCATCAATTATCAACGTAAAACCCAAAGCTCCCGCATACGCTGCTGAAAATAACAACGTGGTCATGGTATATCTTGTTAAACAAATAGAGCATTGTACAAAACAGTAACGAGTAAAAAGCACATCGCAATGCTTTAGAATCAAAGACGTTGGAGCCACTTAATGCAATCAACTACATCATATAGCTGTTTCGACCTTACTGGAAATTAAATTGAATGAATATAACGACACAAAGACATGAATTATTACCTTGATACCAAATAACTCCGTAAATAGTGTTTCTCGTAAGAGGATTCATCATAGCGTTCCATAGATCCGAGTTATGGATAACTCTTAAGATTGAAAACATCAGACGGTTAATCACGGTTAATTATTGAGAAAACAATTACAAATATAATTTCATAATATGTGCAAATCATCTTTTCTCATTCTAAAACTATTGTAAATGTACTCAATTCGGAGCAATTACAATCAAACAAATTATCAATCTTTTAAGGAAATTTAAAGCTATGATAATTACGTGCATCCATAAAGTGACTGCATTTAGTAAATATATCTAAGCCCAATGCTTTCAGCAAGACAAAAGCTAAACTAAGATTACAACTTATATACAATACATGTATGTTTACAGTGTTACAATACACATGGTATCTTGGTGTTTCTTTTAACTCCTAAATTGATCATAGGGCTTTTAATTCGCGGTTGTTGTCCCGATCTCCGATCCGTCATGGAGATTAATTTCGTGCAACCCTTTCGTGTCATCCTTTCACAGTGAACGTGAACAGTCAATGCTGACTAGGTCTGAATTATCACGATTTTTAATCACCTTGAATATCATACCGTGTTATGCCAGCTATGCAGTAGCAAATACTATACTTAGTCAGTTGAACATACCTTTTTACCTGGTGAGAACATTTGCTTAAGGCAGAGGTCGAAGACCACCATTCAATTTTTGTTCCACCCCAATTTGACTCGATAAGCCCGATTGGATATTTGAATTGTGAAGACAATTGCTTGCCAAATAGCCAGCATACGGCAGAAAAGCCTACCAAATTTCCTGTAAAAAATCAGGGAAATTTGTTCAATATTTGTATAAGATTAGACAGCTTAAACAATGTTCACTGTTTACATAGATAGGAAATTAGGGTCCAATATTATCATTATACTTAAAGCCCAAATATACGTAAATGGGATACACTTTAATGTTTCAGTACTAATCTGAGATCAATTTCGTTTAACATTTCTGTTAAACTTATGCAAAAGTGGACCGTTTTGTTCCAAATCAAAAGTCAAACAAATGTGAACGATTTTAGGACAGATAAACGCACAAAGCGAAAAATGGACACCTCTTTACAAAATAATATGTACTTCAATTTTTCTCAGATACATAAGTTTTCAGCATTATCATTTAAACGTTTGTTTATATTCCTCTCCAATGTTTGAAATGATATCCCAGTTACGTATATTGTGGCTTGAAACCACGCTGTCCTATATTCATTTTTCCTATATCTATTGAACGTTAATGATTTTTATTTTGGTCAAGTATAAAGTAGAGGCAACTTAAATGATTTTACACACGGTCAAGAAACCAACGATCTAGATATCACAGATAAATTAGATACCCGCAAATTTACCATATGCAACTGGACACACCATTGTCGGGTCGAAATCTGCGTTCACCAGAGCAATAAATTTGGCTCTTTTAACGCGGCCAGATGGGTTATTTTCCTGTAACTGATACTATAAACGCTAGCTACAAGTCACACATCACATGTTGCGCTAGCTCCTGACCTTCAAGTTCGTCTTCGTATGACCTTGGGTGGTTCGCCATTAATTTGTTTGCAACAGCAATAGTCATACAGGGACATTATACATCGATGAACGTGCCACTTATGTGCGTTTTACAGTGCAATCATACTAAAACATCATCGCCCGGATTCGGTAACAGGACAAATAACTGCGGTAAAAAGCCTTTTACTACTAACTAAATTTAAGCTGAACGGCAAGGAGAGCCAAGGTAGAACCGAAAATTTAAAACTAAATTAGGTTATATTAGCGAACAAACACCAAATTTGGAGTGAGCGAGCCTTCCAGTGAGAGGCATTAAGTATACATTAAAAAGTTCTTCTATGACGTATGAATACTCCGCTCTAAATTGTAATGCGGAAGTTACTAACACTAACTAACTAACTAACTAACTGACTGACTGACTGACTGACTGACTGACTGACTGACTGACTCACTCACTGACTGACTGACTGACTGACTGACTGACTGACTGACTAACTAGATAACTGATTGATTGACTAACTAACTAACTAACTAACTAACTAACTAACTAACTAACTAACTAACTAACTAACTAACTAACTAACTAACTAACTAACTAACTAACTAACTAACTAACTAACTAACTAACTAACTAACTGACTGACTGACTGACTGACTGATTGACTGACTAACTAACTAACTAACTAACTAACTAACTAACTAACTAACTAACTAACTAACTAACTAACTAACTAACTAACTAACTAACTAACTAACTAACTAACTAACTAACTAACTAACTAACTAACTAACTAACTAACTAACTAACTAACTAACTAACTAACTAACTAACTTACTTACTAACTAACTAACTAAATAACTAAATAACTAACTAACTAACTAACTAACTAACTAACTAACTAACTAACTAACTGACTAACTAACTAAATAACTAACTAACTACATAACTAACTAACTAACTAACTAACTAACTAACTAAATAACTAACTAACTAACTAACTAACTAACTAACTAACTAACTGACTAACTAACTGACTAACTGATTGAACTAACTAACTAACTAACTAACTAACTAACTAACTAACTAACTAACTAACTAACTAACTAACTAACTAAATAACTAACTAACTAACTAACTAACTAACTAACTAACTAACTAAATAACTAACTGACTAACTAACTAATAACTAACTGACTAACTAACTAACTAACTAACAGTTGTGTATTAAAACCAGCATGTGTATTCCTTGTATTTATAAGGCAACAATTATTAAGAATGTCATAGTCTTTAACATAGTAGAAACAACAACAAAATACCATCTTTTTCACATATTATAATAAAACTAAGGCAAAATATGAACCAAAGACAGGTTCACACGGAGACTGGACACATCGACGCCACCCGCCACGGAACATCTTCTGTCTATTGCTATTGCTATATATATATATATATATATTTACACTACTCACGATCACTATCAAATTCTATCAAAACAAAAAAAAAAAACAAAAAAAAAAAAAAAAAAAAACTGCAAAAACGGTATTTGCTGCTTTCTTGAGCTTAAGTTTCATATTACTTAATGTCCTGGCCACACATATGGTTATTGATGGACAGAAATCAATAGAGGAAGTAGGTGGTTGAGTGTGTGTATTCATGGAAGGTTGTGATATGGTTGTGTAAGCCTCGTTGTGATAGTTCTATCACACTGAATATAGTGTCAAAGGTTCCAAGCAGGAAACAAGTCACATTTTAGTAACAACGAAAAATCCAATGAACAACCATTTTTGTATAATTTAGTCATTTAAAGCCGGCTGGACTATGCAGTTTCTAGCTGAACCACGTAAATACGGTTATGATCTAAAGTGCAGAAACATACCAGGAGATATCACAATGATGTATCCGTTACATGCATGTGTTTGGTTCAGGATTGCATTTGCCTTTGGTGATGTTAGGAATACATGCATATTAAAGGTGACATCATAGGATAAACGTAATCTAATATCGATGATTTACATAATAGTCGTACCTTGATTCGGAACTGACCACTGTGAAGTTGCTGTCAGATTGAAGTCATGTAGTGCAACGCTGGCCAGCGAATGCTTAGCTTGAAATAAGCGGATATCACTGTAGTTCGAAGCCTCTGCGAGCTCGGCGGACGCGTTTGTAAGCTACATTTCACCAAAAGAATATATATTTTATGTAAAAATGCTCATTCGTTTGATTATACTGGTTTTGTAAACTATTACATACAAGGGAAAAATCTTTACTTATATCAATGTATTTCATGTCCTGTAACAGTGATTTAACTGCCAGTACATTTGATATCGATATGAAGGAAAACACTCATAAAATGAATCCAAGGTCCTCCTGCAAATAAAAAGTCAATAAGTTGTACTCACGCCATACATGGTAAATTCCATGTTGCTCTGATCGGAGCATACCCATACATCACCGAACATCACGTCATGTAAAGTTATCGTCCCTTCACTTGATTTTGCCGACAGGGTGTAAGGACCATAATTGTCATTAGTGACGGCCACCTTCGCAATCCACGTCATAACTCCCGATTCATTGAATGTGACAACATCATCAAAGACCTTATGACCGTTCAGAAACAGTTGAACCGTGTCCCCTATGTGTGAGGATGTTCCCCACACGATCGCTCCACCAGCGCCATGCTGCAGCACCATGTGGTCGGTGTAGTAGGAAGCAAACTTAAACGTTGATATCCCCACTAATTAATGTAAATTAAGATAGCAGTGATTATCATATTGTTTTATTTTTGTATCATTTTATACCTATCAACAATTAGGTCATTTGTCGAAAACACTAGGTTTTATAAACATTAAACAAATCCACGCTTTGTCGTACATTTTAAATGCGATAAGCTTTGATCTAAGGTTTGCCAATACACGATTGACGCATAATGTCGAAATAACATCCGAGGATAATATAAACAAAACCATATTTCTATTTTTTCCGTTCCAGTTTTAAAGAATAGTAGAGGACTCTGATAGAAAACGATAGAAAATAACATGACTTACAGCCGACAACATTGCATATAGTGAGACAACAAAGCAGCCAATGAATTCCCGTCATTGTTCTAAGTCTATTTCTTACTGTCTGAGCAAGTGCTTTAACACCAATACCTTATCTCTATATGCAATGACTTATCGTGTTGACCCTTAACATACGTGAGTACATGCTAAAAGAGAACAACACTACAGCTAAAGCCAAGAAGAGAGCACGTAGGAGAAATGGTGTAAGTGTTTTCGTCTGGCAACAGATTCTATGACCCCCCCATTTGAACGACGATAGTACCTTTCTGAGTGACTGCATTATGAACGCACCTTCCAATTACTCCCATTATCCGATGTCAGCTTCTTCATAACGACTCTAGCTGTTAAGAGGGGTTATGTAAAACGCCTCTGTCATCGATATCATAAAAAGTGTAAAACACTTTTAAAACGATGCACATTTGTATGATTTAGTGGACATTGAAACGTGTCCTGGCTTGCCCAAAATGTGCAAGTCTTTTTGGAGTTACTGGATAAACAGAATATCACACTCATGTTCATATCATACTGAATGTATGAATGTCGTCTTCTATTTCAATGATTTGTGTCATGCCATATTATAGAAATCGTACAATAACTTCATTATATAACGGAAAAGCAAGTTAGTCGGCATATTCAATAGATATAACCTATCAGCATACATTATTTTTTTACCTAGGGTAGTGTTGTTCGCTCCTACAGACTTTATACTATAAACTCAGTCGTCAACCATAAACAGAAAGTAGATCTTCTGTAAGAATGATTTTTATCATTTCCCCAAGAGAAGTATGGCAAAAAAACATCAAAAAATGATTTCAAAGAAGAGAGTAAAATATCAAATTGAAAAAATAATTAATTAAGTTAACTAAATTAATTTCCTAACGGCATTTTCTACTCCTGAACTACTTATATATACTCAATTTTGATTTATGAAGGAACAAATTTGAAAGAAGTGAAATCAAGTTGAATATCAGGTTTTATTTTGTCGTTTTATATACACTCAAAGGAAACTGTTGTAGAATGGTGGCCCCGGGAGGTCTGTATCCCTTCCGTACACAGCACACTTCTTGAACTCACATGGGCTTTCTCGCCACGCATATCGGACAGCGGAGACGGTCGTTTGGCCACACCGACTCGTACTGAGTGTTACAGACGATATATCGTGTGATGCCACAGGTGCTGGTAACCAATTTCCGTTGTTTTTATCGCATATTGTAGTAGAGCAACAAACCTATCATATGTAATGATTAATTATTAGTATGCATTCACAAATGTTTCTCTATCTTTTTTTCTCTCTATTTTTGTTTTAAATAAAACATTTGGTTGTACATCTGTTTTCTAGATCTTAAGCGACCAACGCATTCATCATTAAGATGATTAACTGTTTGTCCCTTAGGTCTGTAATAATATTTTCCCGGCATACTTAATAATTAAGGAAACACTTTATATAGTCAACCATTTCTTTATATGATTGTAAAACATAGAAATAAATAAATACAAATATCATACCACGTTTTCATTAGTAGAACAATATTAACAAATAATTCAAAGGATGGCGTACTTAGATCAAATACTTAATTTGATCATTCAGGTGTTTTACAGTGACGGTGCAAAATCTTATGTAGAACTAGAAAGAAATAGAACACAATGTCCCGTATGGAGGAAAGTAGTAAAATGCGAACTTCAGTATGCACGAATATCAGTCGTTTGTTTGCTTGAGTTTTTTGCGAGGAATTACGATAATTTTCAAGGAACAATAGAACTTTCAATCACCCCCCCCCCCCCCCCCCCAAAGGAAAACCCCCCGATTTGATTCAAATTAGTTGAAAATACAACAGTCTTGTTGGCAGGCAGACCAGACCGAGAATAAGATCGAACCAGGCCCTTTCCATTCATCAAACGCTTAACTTGATTGAGTAAGTTCTGTTGTAGATTAATATAGACATTGGCGTTGGTCAGGAACATTCATTTGTATAAAATTTTATTATTGGTTTATATTTTTTCACTCGTTCGGGGGAGGAAACTCTTAAAAAACAGTGCTATACTAACAAACCAACAGAAATCGACGTAACGCAGGGATCTATCTCACAGAGAAAACGGCTTAGAGGTCCTAAGGTTAATCTCAACCGATACTGACACATGGGAAAAAAACATGTATGTAATGTTAGCGTTAAGCAAAAAAAAAAACTTAAAAATAAATACCCCCCCCCCCCCAAACAAAAAACAAAAAAAAACAAAAAAAAACAAAACAAAAATAATAACCCCCCCCCCCCCCTCCAAAAAAAAAAAAAAAAAATAAATAAATAAATAAAATACAATCAAAAAACTGATATAACATTTTAAAAACTGTTCAAACACTTAAATCATATCCCGCACTTTAGGTATGGAGCATGCATGCAAGAGTATTTCGAAAATTATTTCGTTTTTGGATTGACCTCACTTATAAAACTGAAATTTGACTGGAACTTACAAAGTTTGTTTAGATGGATATTTATAGATTCTCAGTTACCTCAAAGTTAGTAACGTTATCGTTCACTCTAATGGGCGTTCGTCCTTGGTCGTATTCTATGTTTAGAGAGTGTCCTGTCAAATGGTAGTCTGACGGATAAGGACCTTCAAATTCCAGTCCAGACTGATGGTACGCTACACCGAGTGCTGACAATGCCAAACGGGAAGCCACATCCTGTTTGAAACGTGGGTGTATGCTAATTCATAAAGAAACATATAAAACATAGGTCAGTATGATGTCATACAAAAAGGCATTGGAACAGATGGACAAAAAAAATGGTTTCTGCTGTGGCTACGTAATATATTCGTTTGAACATTCGTAATGTCTTTAATTTTCATAACTTAATTCTTACATGTATTGCTTAAACTATTTCCAACATTTAATTGACATAGTCTTTACACATCAAAAAGCCGAAACAGAAATTGAAAATACTTTGAAGATTTTAAAGTTTGATGTACATGTGTGGAGCAAAAATATAGCAAGTCTTTATAGGAGTAGATAAATAGAAACGTCTTGATTTCAACAAGTTAAAGGGTACATACAAGTAAACCTACACTTACCTGCCGTATGGGGAAGTAAAATCTGGTAGGTCTATAGTCACAGACATGAATGTATTTGGCATCTTCGCGTTTGGTACTTTCCCATAATGTGCTGTTTGGGCCCATCTCAGAGACGGAAACCCTTTATTTTCCTCTCCTGTTCTCCAAGGTGCCAGCTGTAGATATAAGAACTTTTTGTAATGTCTGGATTATATCACAGATATTTACGGATGAAATACAATTCACATCTTCAACATTGGCATCAAATATATATAACAGACATTTGCGATGTTTGGTTACTTTATAACTTGTATCAGCGTTCTCAGTTGATTTTTTTATATATACCAATCATACATAAACATTAAACTCTTTATTAACGATACGTTTGATAATTAATTGATTATTGTCTAATAAAAAAAGTGCATTTTATGATGGATGACATAGTTTTAAAAATATATGACGAATACATATGCAACTTTTTACATTATAAGTCATACAGAATTACTAACATTTTATTAAGTTTGATTTTAAAATGTTTGTCATAACACCATTATACTGTTTTCGCGGCGGCTTGATTAGCATGGAATACCTGTACAAATCCAAATGGAAATTCTGCTGACGTTGTGTGAAGGGATGCCGAGCTAAATTTTTGTCTCCAGTCGTTTATCATAGCTGGGAACTGACAACTATACAAATCAGGCCGTCCAGCATTTGCCTCCCCTACAACAAGCAAAAGCATGAACATCCCTTATACAACGTACATAATGTCTATCACATTTCTATAAAAGAAATTAAATAGAGTGGTTTATTAATGTATTATATATAATAGTAACCTGGTTGTTCGAAATAATGTTTGTCAGTCGCCATAAATGTAAGAACATATTCAGTCAATTTTCTTGTTCTGAGTGGGATTTTTTCTGCTGTCATTTACACGTCAGACAGGTATACAAGTTCGATGAAGGACATCATCTAAGTTTACCGTTGAAGAATTACGGAAACATGTTAGTGTTTCCCAGCTTTCCGACATATATTGACATCTTTCTTGGAAGTTGGGACCTAGTGCTTCAAGTCACCATGCGACAAATGCATTTATGTATATTAAGTCTTCTTTGTAGACGATAAACATCATCAGCACATGTAAGTAACTTGAGTGAGTTGTTGTCAGTACGCGAACAACAGAATAAACAGACAGAACGTATGGTAATGGAGTCAATAACAGTGCAGTAAAAATTCGGTTTATACTGCATTGATGTATCCTTCGTCTTATGAACAATAGACATGTTTACAGCGAACGAGAAATGAATAGCGTATAGTTATCATACATTAAACAATACCTTGGTACCAGATAGCGCCATAAATTGTGTTTCGAGTCAGAGGATGCATCATTGCATTCCACAGATCAGAGTTATGGATGTTTCTGAAAATACAATATAGTACATTAATTTCTCAGACGTTCTATTTTTGAAAATGATTGAGTATCAACATGTTTGTATCTTAAAGATAAATTATCTTCAGAGGTTCAATGCGGATTTTCTGTGATAATTGCGAATCGTTTTAAATGCCAGATAACTGTTGAATTTGCTGAAACATAGGAAAAAAAAAAAAAAAAAAAACCAATTTGTCGTCTTTCCTTGAGGATTAGGTAATATGAGATAGACTTTTCTCCATTTTTCATAGAATCGCAATTTGTTTGGAGAAATGTCAGTTTGATTTAAATATGATATGGCAATCGGCAGAAAATGGTACAGAAACATTTATAATTTACATTGATAGCCGGGGACCGTTTAGGATAAATACGGCCACGGTGTTAATGCAATATTTTGTAGATCTTAGCGGCAAATGCTATACATAAGAAAAAGCAAATATGGTTGGATGACCATTTTGATAAATGTACTGATATTCAGTATATCTATTATTCTGATCTATTTCAGTTTATTCCAAATGAGTTGAAATTTCGAAAAAGATACAACCTCTCCAATATTATCAGAATGTCATGTTCATGCACTGACAACAGTGACAGTTGAAGTCGTCTGGTGTGTATGCACTTATAACGCATATAAATAAACGGCAAGGTAACAAACAGAGGTTAAGGGACGAACACAGGCTACCTAAACTGTAAACAAGCTAATGTCATCGGGATATATATGTTACAAAGTGTATCTTTTTCAAGCCCGGATAAGGAGAAAGACATTATACAACTCTCTAGCGGATATCTATCGCTTGATGTTTTTTCCTGTTTCTTCCGCTATTTCAATGTTTCAACCCTAACCACCTTTTTCTGTTTTGATTGGCCCTTAAAATCAAACGTGTGTAACGGTAATAGAAAATATCACTGAATCTGAAGAATTCAAATAATCTGTAAACAATATCAACAATACATAACTTCTCGCCTAACACACGGCCTTCTAAATTTACTTACCTTTTTCCGGAATGAGAACATTGACTTAAGGCAGACGTCGAAGACCACCATTCAATTTTCGTTCCACCCCAATTCGACTCGATTAATCCGATTGGATATTTGAATTGTGACGACATTTGTTTTCCAAATAACCAACACACAGCCGAAAAACCACCCAGGTTTCCTGTAGGAATACAAGAGAGATAATTTCGATATCTATTTTTGGACATTGAGGAAAATCACCTCCAGGTCGCTTTATAATAATCTGTACATAGATTATGTTCACGTAACAAGAAAATCCACAGACAGACTTACAGACCGTTTCCAAGGTTTAACCTATTAAGGACGCCATCATAGTGCCACCAAACAGAACTGATAAAATCTGTTGTGATAACATATCTGTGGTGTTACCTCCCTTTGCAAAAATCAACCTCAATGTAATAACCGGAATTGAACACTCGTTTGGATACATCATATATATATATATATATATATATATATATAGCCATTCAGCTAATATTGTATCACTGTAGACATGACAGATGGCTAAATCTTCTTGTTCTTGTTCTTGAAAATTAAACAGAGCAGAATAAATATGTATGTTCTGAAAACACTCTCGTCATATCTTTTTTATTGTGACGCGAGGACGTCAAACTCAACGAAATATGATATCGGAAAATGGATAAATGACCGGATAGGATCAAAAGTAAACATTAAAAAATGGATTAAGTGTTCTTTAAAAAAATGAAAATTACAGTTGTTGGGTAGCACAACAGTACACGATTTGCGATGTGCACACGATATGAAAATTGGACGAAATAAGCTATCGCACATTTGTTCGATTCTGTCATGGTTGATATAAATTTAGGAATGACTTTTTATTTTCTAAATATCCAAGAATACAGCTAAGGATATCTCCGTAGCCATTAGTATATAGGTTGGACACTTGTAGATATATTAGATAATCACTGAATAGTTAAATACACTCGTAATTTTAAGTGTTTTGTTTACAAAGAGGCACACGTGACCAGCCTTAATATATGGACACACATCGTATATGTGAACACTAAATGGACGTCTCTTTTTGTCACAGTAATGTTAATTTAAAATCTCATACCGTCAGAAAGGAAATTTTATTGTCATTATTTCTGTATTACTCTCATTTTCATTCATTTTGTAAACAAAAAATATATGCTCAGGTAAAATCTTGTTAAACGGGTGACCCAGACGGTGCGGATCCGGACCTGCCACGTATATACCCGTATACAGGTTAACTTTTGTTGCCCGAGGGACCACTACCCACATTCTGAGGTGTGAAACTAACTACGATATGACTAATTAATGCAGGTCCAGTGTTATTTCAAATACTGTCGAATTAAAAATGACTTTTATAATCACCGATCAATTTTAATGTTCATGTGATCACTATTTCGTAATAACTTCACACGAGTTTTCCGTTTAATTTTCAATCCGTAATATTAGCCAACCATTTTACCAAATCGCAGAAAAAGCGTAATTCTATCGCACAGTTGTACACACAATACTGTTCGTGTTTGTGTGCGCACGAAGGTTTTGGTGCGTTGTAAGTACCACAACTGTACTTAGTACTTTAAACGGGACCCTCAATCCACTCACTACTGATATCAATAAGGATATTTAAAGTAACACATTTTTATCGTTAAAAAATTATAAACCATGATCAACAAAGTTTACCCCAATACTGAATTGATATCAACAATTTTTTTCAATATTAAACCCCCTAATATACTTTACTTTTGTTATAAACCTATACAAAATCCTATTTTTTTAACGAATATACCAAATGTAGCCCCTAGCAAGATATTTTATTAAATTGAACCACATTGGCTCCCGCCCTTCATCGCCTCGATTCATACTCATAAGCTCTACCTACAAAAGACTTGCGGTTGAGTGGTGGTTTATGCCCCTAAAACAAAATATTACTTCTGGTTGATGTACACTGAATACTATACCTTGAGCAGTAGTCCAATGCGAAGCAGGTTTCACATTGAAATCTTGTAGTTCAATCCCAGACTGTGCATGTTGTGCTTTGAATAAACGGATATTGCTGTAACTAGAAGCCTCTACATACTCTGCGCTAGCGTTGAGCAACTGAAATCGACCAAAAGATTACTTTTCAAATTAAATCCCTACTACTTAAAAATATGTTTCATATACACATGTGTTAAAAGTCATCTTCAGTGTCGGAGATGTACACAGTTACCCTAGTCTGTTTTAAGATTTCCAGTTGTAGATTAGTAGATGTATTGATTTGAATTGAGCGAAATCACGTATAACTGATATACACATCAGCATTTTGTCATTCTCCAAATGCGACAATAAGCAGCAGACAGTATGAACGATTGTAAATAGCAGAGGCATAGTACTGATAATCATTTCCATACACCTAGCGCATTTGTTTTGATATTTTGTCACGGGTGTACTCTAACTTCATTTAAAATCTTTAAAATGTTGGTTTTGTTTATGAAAGGCTTTATTAGACAAGGTGGGATAGTATACCACAGCATCAGGGGTATGCTATCTTAGCAAGGCTACCTTGCCTCTTGCACACAATCTGCATATCGCAGATCTCTTTCTGTAGTTGTGCAGTTTTAAATGATAAACCAATTATTCCAACGACGCATAAAAATCCCTCAAACTCGGTTTTGGCAAGTATCCAAATAAATTTTTGAATAACAATGTTTGAAAACGTGATCAATCCAAAGAGCAGTTAATCAAACTATTGCACCTTTATTACGTATTGAGTAGTTGTAGTTATCAACTGGGTGGAAAAACAAGACATCACCAACATGCAAATATAATCATAATCCAAACTCAAAATCAACAAAATTAAGGTATACTATGAACAAAAGAAATATTTTTAATGGGATTCTTGAAAAAGTACAAGTAAAATAAGACCAGGTTATCTGGAAGAGTACGCGTCTTCTGCCTCATCGACGACACCCGCCATATAAGTCTTCATCAATCCAAGTAAGAGATGTCATGTTCTCTAATGGCAACTAGATATACAACAACGGAGCCCAGAGGCAAACTAGCAAGTATCATAAAAATATAATATTTCTCAACGAAATCGCTTTGACCACCGTAAAACTTGTCAAAGTTTCCATCAACCTTCAGCTGTAACATGTAACACCATAGGTTGGGGATGCAGGAATGTTGCTCTCCAGTAACGGAAAATTTACAGAATTGAAATCATTATGGTCAGACAGCTTGGTGGAAGCTGCCATATTAGTTTCGTTTTAGGAAAAGATTGAAATACGCTTCTATTGCTGTCTGCCGTGTCCTTGATTTGCAATTCTGATGTTTATATACAATGGACGTGGCCATTAAAACTCTTGTTATTAAAAGAAGGGACGTCATTAATTAGACAATATTACTCACTCCATACACGCCAAATTCCATGTTACTCTGTCCAGAGCATACCCACACATCACCGAACATCACGTCATGTAGGGTTATCGTCCCTTCACTTGATTTTGCAGATAAAGTATAAGGACCATAATTGTTACCAGTGACCGCTACTTTTCCTATCCATGTCATAACCCCTGATGCGTTTTGTGTGACAACATCATCAGAGACCTTATGACCATTCAGAAACAGCTGAACCGTGTCCCCTAAGTGGGAGGATGTTCCCCACACGATCGCTCCACTAGCTCCTTGTTGCAGCACCATATGGTCGGTGTAATAGGAAGCAAATTTAAAAGTCGAACTTCCCACTGAAAATGTCAATATTTGTTATTTTTCAAATTGTGACATGATTCAGAATAGAGACATAAACTTGAGTTCTTCAGAACTGATCATATATATGACAATTACGAAATTTATTGAATTATAGTATACCTCCCCTTCTTAATATTGAATTTTTTTCCGATCACTAAAGATTTTCCCCAGACCCGGCTTTCAAAAGTTAAGTCTTTAGGATCACTGACGAGTCCATGCAGGACGAAACAACTCTACGATTCATTATTTGGCGCTGCTGTATCTTTTTCTAAATTTGCATAAAACCTTTTGTTCACTTGTATGTCTGTTGAACAAACTAACCGCCTAACGTCATCATGTTCAAGCTTGCTTCATCATTAAAGGTACTTTGCGCTAACTATTTGCAAACTTCATGTATAAGCTAATCTCTGGTGATGTTATATTTTAGGATGTTTAGGTTAAGGACAAGATCATTGTCAATATTCATGGAGAACCATAAACAGTTGGCGATAGAACTTTAACACCTTTGGACAAAGTTGATTTGTGGTTCAAATTTCAAAATCACTCTTACTAAAATACCAATCGGTTTTTAAATAAGAGCGTTGGCATTTATGTTTTACAGACAGGTTTTGATAACTAAATAAATGTTGTAAATTGTAAATAACAGAATTTGATGATATAGAGCATTACTTACAGTCAACACCATTGCATATGATTAGACAGCACAGTAGCCAACTCGTTCCAGCCATTGCTTTAAACCGAGTCTCCAAACAACAGTGCATCAGAACTTAATCCTTATCTATACATTTTATTGGCTTATCGCGATGGCCTTGAGTTAAGGTGAGTGTCTATATATAAAGGGAACATAGAACCAGTGGTATTTACAATAATTATTCTAAACACACGTCACCGATAAGACGACCATGTCTTTGTCTGGTGACTAATGCCAATCTAAGTTTGTAGACAATGAATTATATTTGCTTGGCCGAATATAAAATTTATATCATCTTTTCATATTCCAAATAGACAATTTGTTCTTCGCACAAAGCAGAGGGCGGTTTGAACTATTTTTAGATACTTTTCGGTGTCTCGGTAAGGGCCATGTCCTTCATGGCTTTGTTAGGTATTCAGCACTTTAAAAACGAAGTATATCTGTAATTGTAAAAAAGAAAACTTAAATGATGACTACTACAACATGAAGACTACTATATATTATACATATTGTCAATAAAACATTTCGATGACATTCATGGACGTTTTATTTACATCATTACTGTGTTCTCGTGGAATTGGTTGTTACTTTAAGTCCTCGAAATTATACGTCTGTTAGTGATAATCATGACGAAGGTAGACGTTTAATGGATCAAAATGCTAGTAGATTTTGTAAGGAAAATTTCATAGAAATCAATTCGTAACGAAAATGCATACTCTTGTAAAATTACAAAATTTGTGGACGACGGGGAAAAATGGATTTTACATCATGTCATCTAGATGTCCATAGGATTGAGTCATATTGCGACCATGCTCATGGACTGATCATCAAATTGTTGTAGAGATATGTTAACCATTAAAGTTATTGTTAATCAAAACTTTTATTACAGAAATACAATAAATTCCAGGTTCCTAAGAGATCACTAGAATAGACATAACTATTTTGATATCATGCAGTAGTTATCAATTAAATACTACGTGCAGTTTTTACCTGAAGAGAAATCACAGAATATCAAAATATTAAGAAAGTAACTATTGTTTAATACTCAAAACATATTTAAAACATTAAAAACAATAAACATTATCAAAATAATATACATCAAAGGATAGTTTGTATATCAGATTTAGTATATAAAAACAGACACCTCCCCCCCCTCCATCACAAAAAAGAAAAAGGTTTGAAATTAATAAATAATACAAATATAATACATTTTAAAAACTTTTGCTGGATACTGTGTTCTCAATTGAGAGCGTGCCCTTACTTTATTTGATTATTACAAGGCAGATGTCGTCGATGAAGCAGAAGGCTCTTACTCTTCCGGAACCCCTTGCACTTATGATATTTGTTTTTTTCAGGAATCTTTCTTTTGTTCGAATTTTACTTGTAATGTTTTCGAGGTTTGATATATATTATACAATATAGTATAATTATGATAATATAAAATGCTTTTCTCAAATTTTCAATTTACTTGACAACAGAGAATAATAAAAAACGATATTTTAGATATTTTAACAATTCATTAGGTAAGCCTGCTCTTTCTTGACTCTATATCCTTCTGTTTTTTCCTTCTGAGGATGTCTCATTAGGTAATCGTCCTGACCATTGTTTAACGAGACGTTTACACATGATATCTGTGTTCGTTTTTATTCATTAAAAGCAGTATTTCAAACTGGATGTATTTCAGTGTAATACATAGACGATATTTTAAATATTAAAAAAAAAGCAATGATGATAAAAAGAAAACCGCGAGGATCAACTGATAACACGGAAAAATTAATGACGCTCATTCATGTATCGATTTATTACATTTCATTCTACAATTAATGAAAACTGTGAAAGAACGGTGGTCCTGGAAGATCATTATCTCTTCCGTATACGGCGCACTCCTTAAAGTCACATGGACTTTCCCGCCAAGCATATCGAATGGCTGATACCGGAACGTGACCACAGGCACTTGTATCAAACGTGATAGATGAGATATCGTGTGACGTAATTGGACTTGGTAACCACACACCGTAGTTTAAGTTACATTCACGATAAGAACAGCAAATCTGGAATTCATAAACGCATGAATGATAACGTGATAATTTTAGCTGATTAGAACAAAAAATAAAATGAGAGCTTCGAAGATTCAATGCTCTTGCTGCAATCAACGTGCTTTTTGTATATTGTATTTAACGGCAATGTAATGGCAAACAGCATTGTTTAGGTAAAATTTATTTGGTTTTCAAATTACCATACAGAATATGTTCATTTTCTGTACATAACAGTTTTTTTTTTAATTTGGAAGATTTATAACATTTCAAAATATGCATTGATACCCCCTACATGTTGTCATATAGTCAAGAGAATTGATAATATATATGACATTATATGTATATATAATGCAGCCTAATCATGGCGCCATGGTAACAGATATATGACGGTGTGATAGCAGTATAAATGTGTCTACCAGTACAGCATCCAATAATCCACGGATATCGTTTTTATATGTTATTGTCTGTGTTGAGCACGTGACCTCTACACCATAAAAAGAGACGTTTGATGTAATAATGCCTCGCATTTTTATCATAACGTCAAGCGCCAAACCTAGCACGCACTATTATTGGTACTTCCCTTGAATGGAAACTTACTCGATGACTGACCAGAGCATCAAATAAGCGATTACAAATGGTTTACCAGTTATCAGTTTAAAGTGATATTAGATATGTTGTTACGTGGCCATGCCCATTTTAGACTTTGCAGTGTGTTGATGCTATCAACTAGCATTCGAACGTCCTCTTTATCCATATATTCAGTTCTTATATGGGAACAATTTTGTGAAAATGAAAAAGTTCCCTCTTTGCGCTTTATTTTCCTTTAATACCCAATGTAAACCTAGGAACAGAGTTATGTAAAGCAAGATCCTTAAGAATGAACATTTATCAATTCTATACACTCAAGTACTTATTTAATATACAAACTATGGTAAACGAAAATATTTACCTCGAAGTTACTGACGTTAGTATTCACTCTGATGGGCGTTCGTCCTTGGTCATATTCTATATTTAGAGAGTGACCAGCCTTGTGATAATTAGAGGGATACGGCCCTTGGTACTCTAGTCCGGACTGGTGATATGCAACACCAAGAGCTGATAGGGCCAGACGGGAAGCTACGTCATGTTTGAACCGAGGATGGATGCTTTTATGTAAAACAAGTATCATAAGAAAATATATGGTTACTAACGTAAATGAGCTCAGCTTTTAGCAATGCGTTTAAGAACTGTTTCAGGAAATATGGGAAATGAAGATATGCTTGTGTTAATAGTATTCCTTTCATCTTTCCTTAAGTTGTAAGTTATTAGGGTGTTGGATTTCTCCATAAATAATATAAGAAAGTGAGATGACTGATTTTGTTAGTGATTCAATTTTAAAGGTTTTAATATATTGGTTCATAACTGGGTTGTCGCTGCAATGCGGTACTGCAGTAAAACATAGTATGCAGAAATATTTATGAATTCAATACAAAACGAGTGAGCCCATTTGAAATCTTTAAAAGAGTTTTTTTGCTCTTCCATTTCCAGTAAATCTAGATTTATATTTGATGAATCAATGGGGAAATTACGATATAAACTATGTTCAATGCTGTTTTTGCTTTAAGGCATAAGGTTGATTGTGTGACCTTACGTTCCATAAGGTGATTTAAAGTCTGGCAAATCCATTGCTACTGCCATAAACGTTTGCGGCATCTTGGCGTTCGGCACTCTCCCATACCCTGCTGTCTGCATCCATCTCATCCATCCGAAAAAAGTGCCGTTTGTGCCGTTGTGGTTCCCTGCAAGCTACAATATCAGTTTCAGCTAAGGTTTTGTTCTCAATGTTACAATTAATATCCAAATAATGAACAGAGATACAGTGAACTAAATTATGTATTCCAATGAAGAACAAATGAATCATCAATGATTGGTGACAGATTGTGTTATTGTGTAGACACATGCGTTTGGTAATATTGGCAATTTGTTGGCTACTCCTCACGTCAAAAGAATGGAGGAAGTGTTTCATGTGATAATGTAAAGCCTAAATTGACAAGCTAATTGTGTTGGCGATACAATTTCAACGTTTTATGCAATTAAGTTTCATTTGATCGGAACGTATTCATGATTAGAATGTCAAACGAATTTCCATGGATTTTTCTTTAATGAAAACTTTGAAGGGTAACGGTAATAATAATCGCCATAAGTATATGTACAATAATTCTTTCATCAATGGAAAACGTATATATATGATATAGTGAGAATTTTTGCGATTACAAAAGTTTAAATGGATTTGACAATAAAACGTCAAGTTGTCAAGAAAGTATGCACACCCTTGACACCCACATACAAAATCACTTCCTGCCATGAAATTCATTTATTGTAAAATAGTCACAGGGTATATATCTGGTAACCATTTTTAGCCTTCATTTAAAAGATAATACCGGAGAGAATAAAGACGCGTAAGTGATAATACACAAGTGGAACATAATGCCACTTCAAACCGAAATATCTACAATGTATATTTCATGAGGAAGAAGACGTAATTATGAGGATTTAGTAGATACCTGTACAAATCCAAACGGAAAGTTGGGGGAAGTCGTCTGTAGTGAAGCGGTGCTAAATTTCTGCCTCCAGTCCTTAATCATGGCAGGAAACTGGCAGCCGTATTTACCGGGTTTATTCAAGTTTGACTCGCCTGTAGACACGCACACATAGTTAACATTTATCATGATTAATTGCAATGTTTTGTAACAGCTAAACAATTAAGAAATGTATCAACAACTTAAAAAAAGAAACATTAATCAGAAAAAGGTATTATTTTTATATGACCACAAATAAAGCGCGGCATAAAACTATGTATTACTGAACAGCACTTTAATTGGCTCCGTTTTCTTTATCTTGCTCTAGGGCCTTGAATTAACTTTTCTTGTATTCATTTAGAGTTTATTGTAGGTTTATGAGGCAAATCCATGATATCTACTCATTGTAAAGTTTATGATGTTTTGATGAAACGGAGAGATTGAAAACGCTTCACCATCTCGAGATACAAATTAACCACTCTTCATTTACATTCCAGTTCACAAAAGATTGTTTAAGTGTGAAGTACTGTCTACAATATCTAATAGCGGACTGTCATTGTAATCCTTCCATATTGAAATTGGAGAGTTTAACACTTTCATTAATTCCACAATTTCTTTTAGAGGCAGCTTATGTTTTCATGTTTCTGGTCAGCAGCAAGCGTTGAAGTGGAAACGTTAGAAGTAAAAGGTCTTTCGATAATCGAATGCGACCAATGGCAATAACTCCATGGAAACCACTGATTTACAATGATAACATGCTAAACGACGTTTTATTCTTTGACACACGTGTCGATTCTTATCGGTAGAAAAGGTGAAATTACAATGAAAAATCATTTATCACATTGCCACTATTTAACAAACTAAAATAAAAATGTCCTCGAACAATTGAAACACCGTTTCGGCATCGAAATATAATTACAACCATGTTTATTAAACAAGAAAACGTTAATGAACAACACAAACGTCCAAAGAAAGACAACGTAGCCGCATTGAAAAAAGGAAACTGAACAAAAAAATTATATTCGTACGTAAACTTATTTTCAAGATAATATCTTGTATGAACTAATAATCATCGTATACGCAAATCAAATAATATTGTATGTACAGCTTATTAGCTATGTTATAATACAACTTATCCCATACAAATAAGTTTAGGATAGTATATACGTGTTTTTGTTGATACGAATGGTTACCTATATAGCTGAACCTGGGATAAGAACAGCAAAAACAGCTATTCCAGTTATTTGGGAAAATGTATTTTACGACTGTTTGCGTATTCAAGACAGTACATCGATCTCACAAGTATTATGCGTACAATAACTCGTAACAGACACTAAGTTATATGTACACTTATTACTTGATTTGATGAAGAAACTTAACCTTGATGTACCAAAGAATCATTAAATTGATTTTTCCTTGAGTGAACTCATCGTTATAGTAACTTAATTTAACAATGTCTTATCGTCTTCAGAACACCGAGTTTCATATGATGACTTTCTAGGGAGGAGTTATATGACCTCAGCTGAAGTTATGAGAGTCAACCAAAGATATGACGCACTAATTTAGTGGAATCTCTTGTTTTACGACTTAAGAAGTCTAGATTATTACCGATATGTTTTATATGGGTTCCATTGACTCGATTATCAAATACAATCTCAAAGTGAATTCCAATATCACAGAAATTATTTTATAGATTACAATACCAAGCAAAGCGTTCAGAATAAACACAAAGCAATAAGGACAAAATGATTATGGTGGACTGATTGGGATTGATTTCCTGATATCGAACAGGGAATCGTAATTGTGCAGATATCACCCGGATAAATCACAACATATTATTAAATATGCCTGCAGATATCGAGATGTAATGACACATGAAAACAAACCTTGGTACCAAATAGTCCCGTATATAGTATTCCTTAGTAAAGGGCTAATCATACCATTCCACAGTGCGGAGTCGTCAAAATTGTGTGCTCTACAAATCAAAAGTCACGAAAACAGAATAATATATGTATAAAATAATCAATGTTTTACACACATACCTAAGTTTGCAGTGTAAAGAGGTTTATTCGTCGCGCTATCAAGTGACGCGATATGGTTTAATATTGCTGAAAGTCGTACATGTAAACATATATGGTCATTCAAGAACGATTTCCTTATGTATTCGAGATGAGTGCATGTGTTTTTCGGAGGCTACACTATGTTCATGTAAGCTTTCACTTGATAGTCCGGTCGTGATGCATTCCAATAGAGCTTCAGTACTAAATTATACTGTCGATAGCGCTAGCAGTACTCTACATACATTCACATTATACTCAAAACGTGTAAAGCAGTGATTGCACTTTCACAAAGCATAGCGCTAAACAGGGAGTAGTAAGTACCATTTTAGATGAAGAATTTTGCACATCTCAGCAAGGCAACTGCACCATAAAATTTCCACACAGTGACAGGTGCTCGATTAAAAGGTCATACGACAGGAAGTGTCAAGGGAGAATTTAAACATTTATTGAAGTTATATTAATACAAGTACATGTGAATGTGATTTATGACACGGCATTTGTAATCTATGCTATCAATTTGCGATGATAACCTCCCGTCATGGAAGTTCCTTGTTACATAGTCATAGAATGATGAGAACGTTGACATACCAAGGATTGAATTTTGTTCCAAGATTATGAGTACAAAACACGTTTTAAAATACATTTACTGTGCTAATGTTATTCTGAACACTATCAACAGCCAACCGGAGTAAGTTTTGTCTACGTCAGAGGCTCTAACATTCGCGGAAATTTTACTGCATATAACATATAATAAGCAAAAAATCAACATTGTGTTTATGCATTAGAGATAATTATAGCTGCTCTATGTTATTTGATAATACCCATCACCCTTTGATAATGGTTTGGGAGTATAGAAATCACATTGCATTCGATTTTTAATGGGGTCTTCGAAGAAGCTCAGTCGGTATTTCATAATGGATCTAAAAATTTAGAAAAAGTAAAAGTGTACATAAATGGGGTTAATAGACATTACTCGACATTAAATCTCGACAATGTATAAAAATAAACATATACGGAACATGCTTTAATCACCGCTTTATCTATAAACTCGAAGCTTTGGATATATCAAACAACTTGAATACGACAGCATGATAACCATCCAACAAGAAAGTAAATATTAGAAAGGTTTCCTCAAAATGAGGAAGAGGTTGATCAGTGCCAATACACCAAAGTTGTATTACAAAGGTTTAGCACCCTCCACACTCGCGCTCAACACAAACCCTCTTTTCCGATACATAAGACGACCGTCCTCACATAACCACAACAGTTGTTAAGGCAATAAATAACATAAAATTCAAAACCAAGAACACGATAACATAACATTCAATGGGGTCACGTGATAGGCATAACATTTCTTGTTCAAGGATGGAGACATTACATTCATTAACCATAAGTTAATTGCCAAGTACGATAACGAATGATAAAAATATCCAGCAATATTTAAATTCCGGATGTGCCATTTACAATATGATAATCACATATGTGTATTATTCACCTTTTCACATTTGGACATTGGGCAAGAGCGTCTTGTGAAGACCACCACTCAATTTTTGTTCCACCAAAATTTGATTCTATTAGTCCAATCGGATATCCAAATTGTGACGACAGACGCTTTCCGAACAGCCAACATATAGCAGAAAAGCTCGTCAAGGAAGCTACAGAAGATACAAGTGTGGATAAGTTGTTGTAATTGTTGTCTGGTGACCAGCCATCACAAGGAAAATCAACCAGACAATATATAATCAATAACGCAATGGAAAATCAGTCCCGGAAATAATTGATATGTTATTGATAATGAATCAATGTTTGGATGAAGTTTTATCTTTTGAATAGCATAATATTTTAGGCAACTACTTGTATATTTTAGGATCAAATCCCTATTTACCATCTTTCAATAAAATTGGTAGCTTTGGTTCATCGATGTCTTTGAATGGTTCTTTGTTTAACAAATAAGATTTTCGTTATCGATAAACTTGCCACTAACCTATTGCTATTTACATAAATAGATATCAACAGTATTTTATTGATTTCTTACTTATTTGATAAATGTATCTACTCTATATTTCAAAACCTTATTAACATTAGCATGAGCATTTTAGAACGATTGTTCTTAAACCTACATTGTGAAGGCTTTGCCCAGGGCACAATGTTATGTGCTTGGAAGTCCTCCAGACTTGATGATGAATGGAAATGTTGGGCCCTGAATACTCGAACATTTTGGTAGTTTGAAGCGTCCGCGTACTCTGATGTACTATTTATAAGCTTTTGGTAATAAAACAAATTCATTGTTATATCAATCAATAACTAGAAAAAGAAAAACGATAGATTTTGTATTTGATGTCGAATTATTACTATTATTCATTGATTAAATATATGGTATATATGAATGAAAATTTCATGATAGAGTCAACTAATTGGTTTGCTTATAAATCTGAAATAGATTGTTATTAGGTTGGAGATTTAATGTCTATACTTGCCTGACTGAGTGTGAATTCCATGTTACTTTGGCCAGAGCACAACCACACATCGCCAAACATTACATCATGTAAGGTTATCACACCTAAACTTGATCTCGCTGTAAGGTTGTACGGACCGTAATTGTGTGATGTCATAACAATCTTTACAACCCAAATCATCCCACCGTTTGTGTCATGAGTAACGTTGCTATGGGCAACTTCGTGACCATTCAGTGAAACATGGACATTATCTCCTAGTTTCGTTGATTTGCCCCATACAATTGCACCTTGAGGCCCCTTCTGTAAAACTACGTGGTCTGAGTATGTGGATGCAAATTTAAATGTTGACTCGCATACTGAAAAGAAAAAAAGACATTCAACGATTTTCAGTAACATTTGCAAAGACAGTTGGTTTGATAATCATCTACAGGCTTGAAAACAAACAGGGTTGATAGATCTACTGAATTATTCAATAGCGCCCCAAACAAACCTAAATCATGTAATACCGATAAAATGCGGCAAAATATGGATGTAAAAACAATCGAAATATGTTAAAGGGTTAATGTATTGCTCAAAAGACAAAAAGTAAATAATACCTTTCGGTGAAAACTAAAGATTGGATACAACTGAGCAAAAATCAAGAAAGAAAATACCGGCAATTCAACCGAATCTTATATCATTAAAATTAGACAATCAAAGGCAAATAAGAACTAATGATAATTTACTCAGGAGCCCGTGTACCGGAAGGGTAGGCGTCTTTTGCTTCGTTAATGACACTCGCGATGTAGATCTTGGTCACACCAACAACGAATGAAACTGCATCATACAGATGTTTTGTTTCAAAAGACAGCAATGACAATATAAGTGATTCATGCATGGCACGGACGATAAACTTAGTACTATATAGCAGCCTTCAGTGGTACTTCATTACCACTTTCATTTCTTTTAAATGAATGAAATCTTAATATTTACGTTTTGCTTTTCCTTTGCTCTTACGGATCGGCTCTTGTGAAAAGTCAAACTTTCGTGATGACTAAATTTAAATGGGAGAATTTAGATGCATGAAACATGAAAAGAAAACGATAGGTTAGTGTTCCCGTTTTCACATGGCATGTTGCTGAATTTCAGTAGTATTCTTGATGTGTTTTAGAGCTTTTTTACCATACAACATTGTTTTTTCATATTGTTAATATAAAGTGATATCATCAACTGTTCCTTTCTAATTTAACACTGGGTATTGTTTCAGAAAACAAAAAAGCAATATCCTTCTTCAAGCTTGAATTGTTGTATTATTTTCACAATCAGTATCATAGATGACAAATGAACTACCACAAACCAGATGTTTACCTTCAATTGTAAATCTACCATTTTTGTCTGCTTACTGTTTTCTAAACTCAATACCTCAAACATTACTGATTATTACTACGAAATAAAAACAATGTCAGTGGACTGCTTCTTTACAATCTAAGTTTGAGTTATCTCCCTTGACAAAAAATAATAATCAATGTTTTTTATTTCATTTTGGTTAACATATTATAACCAAGGGTAAAAAGTCAAAAATCTAAACTATATCAATAATTATGCAAAATATAACAACACTGAAATTTCAGATGCAATAAGATAAAATATCTTTACTAACAATTTTTCTTCTGTTTATAGCTGCTGAATAATCTCCCTTTTCAATGTATACAAAATTCTGAACTTTACAAAGAGCAATAACCCTTCCAATGGTTAACAAATCAAATTGCTACAAAGAATAATGGAAGTCTGTATGCTGTAATAAAGACTGAGACTTACATAAACAGAGCACTTTATGTGATCTTTTGATAAAATCATAAAATGAAATTGTCAAAATGGAAAGAACTACTGTATACAAATTCAATCATCATACACCAGAGACAGAGACATAGCTTCGCAAAAAATCCAAATTTGATTAGTGGAAGAAATTCATTTTATCTATTTCTTCTTTTCTCTCTCAACTTAACCAACAATCCTTTTAAACAAGGATTTTGATGTTGTGTCCAGTAACGATGAAACATTGCTGATTGATTAATCAATTAATTTGAAAAAAAAAAAAAAAATCCTCCGGTGCACTTGATACAAAGTAGGCCTAGAGGGGTTGACACCTCTATCCATTTGCGACAACACATTTTGCCTTATAATGTATGGTGATACCGGTGTGATCTGATGCAGCAGTCGAGGTGAACATCTCTGGTATAACATAGGTATTTCTTCTTTTGTTGCTGCAAAGGGCTACCATTGTTGTGATGTGGTATGTCCGAGATGAAATTATCAAGAGTTGGGAAACTACTGATAATAAAATAATTGTAATTCTGCAATGACAGAAGAGAAAATTAAATAACTGAATTACTGACAAGTAAATTTCAATGTTTTCACTGGGGATTTGTTTTCCTTGTATCTCTATTGCATCTTATTGTTTGCTGATATGCAGTGTGCATTCTAAATTTCAATTCCTTTGACGGTACTTTATCATATATCAGCAATGCATGCAGCGATGAAGTTGTTGAAAAATTAATTTCATGTAAAAACAACAGTTTTATTCAGGAAAAAACAGATTACACAATAGGCGACAATACCTGATGCCAGCTTTATGTTGGCAGCCATTACCCTGCTCTTTCCTTTGCCTGTGTCAACATTATTTACATGTAGACAGCAAGTAATCATTTGAACATGGAATCTGAAACACATTTAACAATATCTTGAGGTACACAATTATAACATACAAATGTGTATATATTTGTTATATATGACATAATTCCAATATTGTTATTGGTAAAGACATGATAAACTAAAACAAGTCAATAAAGAACCTACTCTGACGCTGGTGTGACTGATACTCTATACAGAAGAGTACATTGCAACAATGCAAATAAATTAATCATATTTATTCCAAAGTATTCGTTTATCTATCTTTTTAATCGTCATATATGGATTTGCCAACATACTCCTACATGATACATGTAGTGTGTTACATGATTTTGTATTTGTTTACAATAGAACAGTAGTTCTATACTTACGTACGAGTGTGTCATGTAATTTTGAGTAGTTGAGTAGTTCTTTGATAAAGAACGGGAGTTTGAGTGATTTAGTAGGAACCATAATTAAGGTTGAGGAATTCAAATGCAAACTCAATTGTCATGCAATTTACATAACAAAAAAGTCTTCCTGACACATACCTTTATATAGACAGGAAAACAAGTCAGCATGTCTGTCTGATCTCAATATCCCCATACCAGCTGAACGGTTCAATCTCTCCTCTCCATGTCTGGTGCATTCATTGTGATTTCTTATGTATAGTCATTGTATTGACTGCAGTTTAAATTGGTGTACAAACGGTCACGATCAACAATATATGAACAGTGATCATGGGAATAACGTAACCGACATTCGACCACTAATCACGACCCAGACCGACCAAACAGGATGGCTTCCATCTCTGTATAACCACATAGAACACAGTTTCTTTTCATTACATTCACACAGTTTGAGTACATAATTTTCAAAGACATGTTTGACTCTTGTCACGCTGCCCTGATATCTGACACCGTTAGCACAGTGTTGTTACCTTCGTAGTCTGCTAGTCACGGGGCTACTTATGTCGTAAATATCAATATTTTTCATAATTAAAACAAAACAAACTATTTTCTATGCTACAGTGACGATTTTGAAAATAAAGGAAACTAAAAGTCAAAATAGTATGTACTTTATTTTCTTCGAAATCAACTTCCCATTTACGTTACTCCGCTTCGCTGTCGGATTTATCTCCCTAACAACAGAACACTTTACAACCCGGAAACGTCACCAAGCAGATCCCTAACTTGTTTTATTTTTCTAATAATATATCGAGGCTGTATATATCGAGTGACTTATCAAAACAGGTTACGATGACCTTAATAATTTTAGGCATTCATATTCACTTTTAGTTATATGAATTATATCTCAAGTTTAAATGATAATGTGTGTATAGCCTACGTCTCGTACGTAACCTTCAGTATTGGTATTTAAGGTCAAAACACATTTATACATACGTCATTCGCACCTCGATCCATGAAAGAAAACTTTAAACCTACTTGTATGATAAGTTTGATGATGTCGATTCCCCTATTGTGAATTTAGAATTTATTGATGGTAACATGTCTGCTTCCTGAATCTGCGGTGTGTGTCGCACTTGATAAGATGTCCAGGGGATGGTTTCCAATATCAAGGTTTTTTGAAAGGTATCGACATCTGACAGATCAACTAATAACACAGTGTTTCGAGAGATACAAATTGATGGTCTATTTCGTCTTATTTCCGAATAGTCCATTTCATTGTGCATTGTCATACCAGGAGACATCATTGTTTTAACCTGACGTACTTGAGTCGACAAAGATTGGTAGATCCTTCCTAAGCACACTGTCTTATTGTCAGTGTACTTTGCCAATAGTGTACCAGTTAATCGTTATCTTTTTCAAAGTTCCCCCTGCCGCATAATTTCTTTGTTTTGAATAACGTATATCCTTATATGTAGATAGTGTCTTTTTTTTTGCGGTAGAGTAGTAAAAGATAGCTTTAGGATTCCATCTGTGTTTCAGGTATTACCCTCGCGTCATTCGACTCATACAGAGCAGATAAAATGTTTATTGAGTTTGTCAATAGTTAATAAAGCGGATGAAGTACGAACATGCTGATATTCTTGTACTCGGCATTGATGCAATCAGATAACAAACTTTCACATGGGTTTTTTAAAGGCGATGAAATAAGCATTTCGTTCGTACAAATCCGATTAAAATGCAGAAACGAATTCTCGTTCAATTACTCTAAAATATGAACCTTATTTATTTTACAAAAGTTGCGAAACGAGCTTTCAGCTAATATTGATCACTCTTCTTGGCCCGGATGAAAACGCGCGGGGAGGGGGATGCCGAAGTACTCGGGGAAAACACACGTGGTCGGGCAGGTGATCCCATGCCTTTAACGTCGTTTCAGGAGTCGAACCCCGAGTGAATGATATTTGAGTAAGACGTTATTTTGTTTACCACAAAATGTCGACAAAGGCTATAGTATTTTTACATGTCAGTCTTAATAAATTGCTCATAATTTTTATAATGTTCCTCACTCTGAGGTGGAGTGTTATGGAGCGATGATACGGATTTACTCATATTAGCTCTTATGTTGTGACGAAATCGTCAGTTTGACAATTCGCCTTGCAGGTGGTGCACATGTTTTTAGAACATGACCCGTTAGGGTGAAGTAGGATATGCATTTTAATCACACTGTGTTCGTTCTGTTGCAACATGCATTACTACCCAAGTAATTTCCGTAGGTTAAGCATAAACAAAGCTTTGTAATTGCACTAGACACCCATGGCTTCAGTGCTTCATTTGGTATAGAAATTGTACAAACGACAAAAAAGTAAATAACACCTTTTTATAATTTAGAGTGTGATAAAGTAGAGCCGAACAATAAATTTGGAAGCCTTGGAAAATCCAAAGTGATCGAAAGAAAGTCAAAATCTAGACGGACTTGTAGACGTAATTTCAAACATAAGACCTTTAATTGTGTTAATGGACCATTATAGATGCACTTAAACTGAATTCCACAGATATAAAACTGCATATTACCAATATTAAAACTCTCCCAATAACCTTCGTTTTAAAAAATATTGCTTGTGTTGTAATGATCTCGCCATACATATTTCATTGCTATTGTTAATGTACTTTCAGATAAACAGTGTAATAAAACGCCTTTTCGTTGTTGAAAATGATAATATTGGAAAGACAGAAACCTTTATTAATTTTAGTTAGATTAGAATAAAAACTTTTGTTGTTTATTGTAAAAGTACACTGTTTAGTGTAAAGTGTGAAAAACGTAAACTTTAATCTAAAAAACACATTATTTTACGTTTTAAAGAGGCGATAAACCAGTCAGCTCTGTAGGGCCAATGTACTTGCCTTTGTAATTCCGAGTTCATTTTGATGATCTACTTTCAGAGAGAAGATGTCTCTGCTGTCTTCGTGAGTTCAAGACGGTTGCATTGGTGACAAATTAAATTATTTAAAAAAGTAATAATTTGGTTTTCTACTGAATGACTTCAACTGTATACAGATAGCTGGTGTAATATTATCGTTTTGCCTATCGACATGTAATGCTTTTGTTTGTACAGCAAAATTAATCAAGTGACACACGTAAACTGATCCTGTAAACAAAAACAAATATCATTTTTCCAGCTAAAACAGATTTCTCAGTAGATGGATAGGTATTGTGTTCTACCTACTTGTCACACATAAGCAGAGTCCGATTATCCACAGACTATGTGAACCCGTCATGTTGAAAGTCTTCTGTCCGCCCGTTATCAGGTATCTTGAGATGTATTCAAGTCTTATCTTAGTGTCTTTCTAATACTCACATGTACTTGAGTTCACAAATGAATGAACGCATGCGTTATCTGGAGGTAAAGGAATGACATTTAAAAACGTTGTATTTGTATTGATTTACGGCCAATCGACAATCAAGAGTCTTTAAGGGCCAGAAAAAAACAAAAAAACATGAAACATACAAATCTCAAATTATTAAGCTGAAAAACAAATTATCAAAGTAACACAGGAAACGAACAAGATGTAAAATATAGCATGTTTTATGAAGTTTGAGAGCAAACCAGAATTACATATCTGAAAGCAATACGTTGATTACACACCTGACAATTAAGAATCTTCATTTCATAAAATATTAACCTGTGTTCTATGGATTCGACCAATACGTAAACCCGATAGGAACACTTCCTCTGGTGGGATGCTTTACTGATAACACATGTACTCACATTAAATTGGAAAAACATCATGATGTTTAAAAAAGTGCATTTGCCAAGATTTCAAAAGGCAGCCACCTAAACACGATTAGTATTTTTATTATAAAAAGTAACACCAAACACGACCATACTAGGCATGAAACCATTGAAAAACGTTCGTATCTTTTGTCTCAAATTTTCTGTCTTTTGTTTGCTATTTAAAAAAAATGATCAGATCTTGAATGTAAGCGTAAGCAATATTGCATGTTATGTCACCATGTTTTCAAGTTTAGTAAGATAACGGGGGCGTTACCGTCAAAAATGCTACATTCAGGAAAATTACCATCCCTAAATGACTTAAACAAATCGATTCAGGGTGAAAAAAACTTAAAATGATTATAATGTTTTGCCATACAAGATTGACTATTGCTAATCCTGTAGACATGATGCATCGCTTAATTTGCAGTGCAGTATACGCGCACGTCGGAAGACAAGAATCCCCTGCAGGCACATTTATAACAGAAACAATAATATGTATGATTTCATTATGTGAAGATTTCCATTAAGATAAAAAATTGAAATTGAATTGAAATTAAAGTGAAATAAATGCATTCAATTTCCATATTGTTTTCTTCCGCGTGCCGTGTCTGTATTTTAAAGATATAGACTTCCTCAATATTTGTGTAACATTTAGCAAATGCTTCCAGGAAGTATCTTCTGTAGTCTTTCGAGGTCTAACCGACCTTAAACGTTCTTGAGCATGCCCGATTTGGTTCAGACGCTACAATGGAGAAACAGTAGGATGGCTTGTTGCCTTTGAAACGTACAGTAACTTGCC